TGACAGCTCGGGTAGACTTCCTTGCACCTTTCGATTAAATAGTAGTTCACATGGAGGTATCTTTGTAGTGGCATGCGGTGTTGAGCGGTAATTTAATAGAAATCTTTGAAGTTCTTGTCTCCAATTCTTTCCCTCTAACATGGAAGTTTTTATCACTTTTCCTAACGGTTTCATCACACTTTCGGCATTTCCATTGCCTTGGGGCCACAACGGAGTGCTTGTTTTCCACTCAATTCCTAAGGCAGCCATGTATCTTTTAAAATCATTCCCATTAAAAGGCGGTCCATTATCAGTTTTAATCTTTTTCGGTATGCCATGAGTTGCAAATATGCAGTCTAACTTCGGGATGCAGGCTTTCGCTGAAGTTGACGTAACAATTTCTACTTCTGGAAACTTAGAGTGTCAGTCAAGACAAGTAAGTATTGTCCACTGTGTGGTATAGGACCATAAAAATCGCCATGGCTCCGTCGGGAGTGATTCTCATAGGTTCAGGAGGATTACTTGGACCAACAGCTTGACAGGCAACACAGTTTTCAACGAGGGTCTTTACTTTACCATCCATTCCAGGATACCATATTTTTTCTCTCAATAACGCCTTAGTCTATTCCTTGGTGTCCGACATGTCCGAGTTGCGTCGCACGGTCTTGTAGCGCTTTTGGTATAACAATTCTGCTCCCCTTGAGAAGAAGGTCTCCTGCTTTCGTTGCTATTAGTTCTTCCGCGCACATTTGATAAGCTTTCAGTTCCACATCCTTCTCCTCCCATTTCCCCGATTTCAAGCATTCTAAAACTTTCCTTAGAATGGTGTCCGACAAGGTGGCTTCCTTGATTTCTTGAAGTGTCATTGACTTCGGCACAGCATTGTTAATGATGTAGTTCACATATTTATCTGCAATCTTTTCTTCGATTGTAGTTTTTCGTTGAGTGGTGGTAGGATGACGGCTCAGGTAATCGGTTTTATTAACTGTTTCTTTCTTGTAAATCACACGGAAGTTATACGGTTGCAGTCGTAGCATCCAGCGTTCAATACGAGCTGGGGGTTTTGATCTTGGATTATTGAAGATTGCTTCCAGAGCTTTGTGGTCAGTATAAACATCGAATTCAGTACCCAGGAGAAACAGTCGGAAATGTTCTATCCCCCACACTAGGCTCAACCCTTCGATGTCAGTCTGTGAATATCGACTTTCGACTGGAGACAGGGCTCTGCTTGCGTAGGAGATAATGCGATACGACTCTCCTGACTTCTCACGTTGGGCTATCCGGGCAATAAGCAAGCTTCTCTTCTCGGTATCAGAGTATGCCATGGTAGGGGCATGTGTCAGTTTCTTTTTAATCTGCTCAAAGGCTCTTTGGTGAGTGTGGTTCCAAGAGAAAGCAACACTTTTCTTTGTGAGATCCCGCAATGGTGTAGTAATTACGGCGTACTCTGGAACATACTCACGACACGTGTTCGCCAATCCCAAGAAACTACGTACTTCGCTGGCATTCTTTGGAGCGCTGACTCTGACTAAGTTGTCAATTCTTGCTGGATCTGGTCTTGTTCCATTTGCCGTAAAAATTAAACCATAGAAATTAATCTCGTTGCGCAGGAAACTACACTTCTCAGGTTTCGCTTTTAAGTTGAGTTGAGCTAGTCGTTTCAAACAGTTCTCTAATGATTAGTCATGTTGCTTTCGCGTTTTCCCGTGAACAATGATGTCATCTGCAATATTCGTTACTCCACGAATGTCACTAAGATTTTGTTGCAAAATGTTCTGAAAAAATTCTGGCGCACTGTTCGTTCCGTAGTTCAGTCGTTTGTAGCGAAATAGGCCTTCGTGCGTCGAGAATGTAGTTATGTACCGACTTTCTTCTTTCAATTCCAGTTGATGGTACGCCTGTTTGAGATCAATTTTTAAAAAATATTTTGATCCATTCATTTCCGCACGGAAATCAGAAAGCGTTGGCATAATGTGTCTTTCCCGCTTAATCGCTCGGTTGGCTACTCTCATGTCAACACAGATTCGTGTTCCACCGTCCTTCTTCTTTGGAGTACACACAATTGGCGAAATCCACGGGGTAGGTTGGTCACAGACCTTTTCGATCATATCTTACACAACCAATTTCTGCAACGCCTTTGATACGTCATTGCGTATATGGTGTAGTATACAACGCTGCGGTTGAACCACTGGTTTAATATTCTCAATAATATGTAACCCGACTTGTTGAGTGCTCAATTTCCCTTCACCAACGAAAACAGTTGCGTATTTATCAATAATCTTCTGGATCTCTTGGTCTTCGCATTTTGGCATCGATGCATGAGGCATTGGCTGCTGTTTATCCGTGTTCTCCGTGTTTCCGGGCAGTATGGGCTGAGATTTTTTTTTAGAAACTTCCGGTTTCGGCGGCGTTTCAAGTTCCGTGACCTTGTTTACTAATTGAATTAATGCCAAATCTTGAGCGGTTTTCGCACTAAGTAGATTTCCAGAGCCGCCTTCGACAACGTGAATAACAGAAACAGTATAACGTTTGTTCGATTCCACCGTTGCCTGAAATTCACCTTTAAGAGGTAGTGGTTTGGTTGAGGTAGTGGTTTGGTCTTAACATATTACGGAGTGTACAATTACAAAACTTAATATAACACTTGCAGAACTAGTATTTTTCGATGCTGAATTAATATAAACGAGTATGTTTATAACATTCAGTATACATTTCATAATTTCCAGTCTTAAATCCGTCTGACCGTGTAGCCAGTTGGTAGAGCGTCGATCTAGTAATTCTAAGGTCGGGGGTTCAAGACCCAGCCGCGGCAGACAATATCTTTCTGCTTGCGCTGGGTATGGAAATTATGAAATACACACTCGAGAACATTTTCAACTTTATTAATGTTTCGGGGACAAGCCCTTTCTTCAGAAAAACAGTATATCATCTCCGTCTTTTGCTTAAATACTCTACGCAAATGTTTGCATGTACATAAATTAATTAAACCTATTCCCTTAAATTAAGCCCACGTGACACATAACTATTAAGTTTCTCAATCCAAAGCTCTCCCTCTCAGTGACGTCCGTGACCGCCAATAACCTGCACTAAATCAATAACCTGCACTAAAAAATCACATAGACCCCCTAAAAGTGGGCATACAATTGTTGCCCACAAATCTTTGTTATTATTATAATCGCAATCAGAACTGTGTTATAGTATTCCCTACATGTTGTAACCCACAGCTTTTACAACTAATCAAATACGCTATACCCTCCGAGTAACAATCGAAGCGATGGTTAATGGCACCAATAATGACATTCTCACAGATTTTACATTCTTCTTTCCGCACTTAAACATCCCTACTACCGTTTTCTCTTCCCTTCTCAATTTAGAACGAACTAATTAGTGGTCTTTAAGGTTTTAGACCGACGAAAACACACCATTGGTGGTTCCGGCATAATACTTAAAAACCTTTCAGACCAACTTACAATTACTTGTAATTCCCTAAAGATATTATAAAGAACCCTCAATGCTGGATGATAATCTATCACAAAACAATTCCTATTACTATACCGGCTTAACCCCTTCTTTCCGCATTAACAATTTATTCCTTTTGACTTCTCTCACACTGCCAAACTGGTCATCAATTATAACCATGCAGTTTGGAATTATAACCCCTCTTCACCAAAAAACCTTTTAGCTCCCTTAGTTTTTCTTCAAGTAAGACATTAACACTAAGCTTATTTTATGCTAATTGACATTTGCGTAATAGACTAAATTTTGAACTAAACAAGTCTAGACAAAAATTTTATCACAGCTTGAAGGAGCATCACAAAATTAGTAATATTCCAAAGTTTCGTTGCGAAATGTTGTAAAATGCGGAAAATATAGCCTTGCGAAATTTGCAATTTTCAGTCATTTTAGATTACAAACGGGAAATTGACAGCCTCAAACCCTTCGAGGCTGTCAATTTCCGGTTTGTAATCTAAAATGACTGAAAATTGCAAATTTCGCAAGGCTATATTTTCCGCATTTTACAACATTTTACAACGAAACTTTGGAATATTACTAATTTTGTGATGCTCTTTCAAGCTGTAATGAAATTTGTGTTGAGATCAAAATTTAGTCTATTACGCAAATGGTCAATTAGTTAACACTTTAACGCTATGGGCTTATCCATTTGACAATTTGCAGCAAACCCACCTTAATATTATGTTTATCCACAAATAGGACACTGCTGTCAAAGGACGTTTAAAGTGTCTACAGTGTTTGATTAAATTGAAAGTGGCATCTTAGCATTCACCGTGTATCATCTTTTGTGCAATTGGGCACGGACCAACACCGCGGAAAAACGTCTGCGCATGCGTCAACCTTACCTGTAATAGTATTGCGAACTTGATGAGAAGCTGTTCCGAACGTTTCCGAAGGCTCAAAATGGCGGTAAAAAGGAGTGACTTCATTGTGCGTCTTTATGGCCAGATTTCGAGCGCAAAAATAAACATGTCATTCTAAAAACTAGGAATAAATACAGCCAGAAGGTTCAAGAAATTGTATTGTACAAGAACATGAACTAAAGGTGATTGTTGACAAATTTATCGTCTGAAACATTTTGTTTATCAACTAAGCAACGACAATTTCCGAATTTTCGTTTGAGATACATTTCTTTAAAAAAAACTGTGTCGCCAAATATAAAAAAATTTCGTGTTCACAATAATTAAACTTTAGGATTTATTCTACAATTTGAGTGGGTTAAGAAGCTTAACTTTTCGAGAGTTTTCTTAACTTTTGAGTTTGAATTTTTGTTTTGAATAATTTTGCAAAAATTTTCGAAGTCGTGTCCGTTAAAATCAACAATTTTTTACATGAATTATATTTCATTCCATACTTTAAATGCCAGGACGCTTTCAATTAATGTCTAGTCTACCCATTTGCTATATTTTCTCGTTTGTTTTACTAATTTTTAACAAATTAATAAGCATGTTTTTGTTTTAGAAATTGATGTTCAAATTCCCCGCCATATTTTCATAATTCGGTGCATGCGCAGACATTTTTCCGCGGTGTTGCACGGGCCTGGACGCCAGACTATGACAGTAGCTTTTCTGCACTATAAAAATGCAGGCGAGCTAAAAATGCGATTTTAAATAGTAAAAAATATTTTACTCTCAAATAGGCTATTAATTTAACAACAGACATAGTCGCAGCCTGTAATTGTTTCAGTCACTGGTTCGTATTTTTTTACTTCAGTATGCTGAAACACAGTATGCGCATTATTCTTCAAAATTAAGAACGTTTATTTGCCAGAAAATGAGGAAGCAGAATTTGACAAAAAAATTTATAAATCGGAGCATTTTTCGTTTACTACGTATGAGGGGACACTACGCGTAAATGTAATTAAAGGGGACACCATCCGCGGCTGGGGGGAGACTATCCGCGGGGGGGGGGGCACTATCCACTGTGACACCGATGGGGTTTCGGAGTGGTCCTCTCCCAAAAGAAGAATGTGTCTTCCCAATAAGAGGCACTCCGCTATGAAGAAGGTTTAGGAAAACTCTATAGTTAGTTTCCTTACGTCCTTACCTTGGAGGCCATTCAAGTTTCGTTTAAAATCTATTTGAATAAAATACATTGAATGTCATGTTTACATTCAAGAATCATTGGCTCTGATGTTGTTTTATATTTTTACGCAATTGCAGTTTCAGCACATGAATTAAATTGAGTGAATTTTGTGAGAAGTTTATCAACTTTTTGCCTGAATGTAATCAAAACATATATGGAATGCATCTTGTCTGGCTGAATGAAATCTTGGAATTTTCCCCACAAACTTTCCCCTAATCTTCAATATTTTTGCCAATTTTCTGACGTTTTGCTCGAAACGCTTGCGAAAGTTTACGAACCGTTGTTGTCGCAAAAGTCATGACGTGAGTGTTTTTGTTAAAATCTTTGCATGTACACGTATATCGTTCGCGTTCGATAGAATACAAGTCACATTGAATTTTAGCTGGCAGTTGATCTTTTCAAAAGAATATAATCGTACTCAGTCAAAAACAGGGATCAGAATTGAGAATTTTTCACTTTATATGACACTGTAGTGGAATGGTTCAAATTCCCGATTTATAATAACTTGGACAGCTATTATCTGGCTAAAGGCTTGCATTGATGTATGTTTTAGTGCAGGAGATAATATTACTGACATGCAAACTGACCACTCGGCAGATCTGTCATGAATCCACAAATGCTCTCACTACTCTTCAGTGGTCAATATCCTAATGGAAATTATCAGTCAAGTTAGATGTTTGTAGACATTTTTATGTATTAATAGGTCGACGTTGAAGTTTTACATCAGCATTCGTTGCCCAATGACGCTTACATCGCAAGATTACGCTTGAATCATGTACGCATCATTCGTTTAAGAAATGGTGGGCGTATCAAACACACTGTTGACCAAAACTTGGAAGAAAAGTTGTCTAAGCCATTTCTCTTCCTTCAGGATGTTAAAGGGAACATCACACAAGTGTTTTTCCCCCATCATGATCAACCAGAACTTGTTGGACTAAAGAAAGGTAATTTAATTGTAATATTTTTATGACAGTTATGTAATGAAAATTGTTGTAATCCTTCGCATTTGTACAAAACACAAGCATTATCTATTCGTTCTTTGTACGTTTGCATGGCGATAAAATATATAATAGTTTTGTTTGTGGAAACACATGCACGTAAATTTATTACTGCGAAGCTTTCGATCCGTAAGCCTGGATCGAAAGCTTTGCAGTAATAAATTTACGTGGTGTTTCCACAAACAAAACTATTATTATCTATTCGGTTATCATATTTCTTAGGAATTGTAAGCGCTCTCAATTTGAAGATTCATCCAGATCTTCAAAACATCACATACAGTACAGAAGAAGAAGACGATTCTGGAATTCATCTTGCTTATTATAACGTCAACGAAAGAAATTTCACCCACTTACATTTAACAAAGAAGTGGGGCAGTGTTGATTACCTGAAACATGTGGATGGGCGACCGGTGGAAGGAGAGCAACACAGCAAAAGTCATTATTATACCTCTTTGGAAATTCAAGACGGTGCGATCAAAAGTGCGAAAAGAACGCATTTTTCTTATTTATGGAGCGACGCGCCTTATAATCGACCTCTGAACAAACCGGAATTTCAACAACAACCTAATTTAGAGCTAAAAGCATCTGGGGAAAGCCACCTTAACCTCCTTCGGTGTGTTAGTCCAACTAACAAGAGAAGCAAAAGGTCTTCAGAACAATTGCATTCGTTTTTGGAAAATTTGAAACAAGATACCTTGAGTTATGATGGTATACATCGCTTGAAATGGTCTTCGATTGGTGATCCCGATAAACCGAGCCGTTCATTGTACGAGTTACTTCGATGTTATTCCGACCCTTCTGTCAAAGAAAGTGAACTATCCGAATGCATCAGGGAGCTTCATTACCTGGCGAAAATTGATGACGAGATTTTTGAAAACATTGTAAACTTGACGTTAGAACGGTCTCATTTAAATTTCTCCACATGGTCAGGGCTAGTTGGGGCTATTGTTGTCCGAGGAGATTATAAAACCCAGAAGATTTTAAGCCGAGCAATTTTATCCGAGGAACCACGGCCACTTTTGGATAGAGAACATGCAAAGCTTCTGGAGGCGGTATTCTTTATTCCCGCAGGACCTTTGTACCCAGAACTGTTGCAAGCTCTGTTGTCTCTTCATAAGAATTCTAGTAAGAGCGATGAGATCACTGTTCGCGCCATGTTAGTGACATCAGGTTTAGTGCGCAAGTGTCACGACGCTGGTTACAATAGATCGCTGTCAGAAAGCATTGCCCAACATCTGCACCAAAATTTCAAAACACATCCAGCACGATTCCATGACGAAGAAAGCCAATCACACGATGAGTATATATGGAGTCATGTATGTGCTTTCGGAAATTTAGGTCACATTTCGTCACTTAACTTGATAACTAGATATCTGGACCATGATAGCTCCGGTATTCGATATTTTGCAGTTTCGGCTTTGAGAAAACTCCCAACGCGGTACACTGATCATCAGTTACTACGCATTCTTCGAAATGACGAACACGTAACGGTTAAAGCAGGAGTGATAGAGGTTTTCATAGAACGGCGTCAGACCCTCACCAACGAATTGCGCGATGCTATCGAAGATGCTCTGTGGATATCTGAGGAAGGTGACGAACTAGATTCTAAGATTGTTGAATTTCTAGAAAACCATAACGATAAATCTCATCACGTGATAAAAAAATTGCGAAAACGGAGATCCATTATTCGGCGAAAGAAAAGGGCACTTATCCCAGCATTGAAGCCTAGAGAATTTTCTTTAGGTGTACAAAAGGAATGGCAAAAATCATTTGGTGGTGGTCAAGCTGGTGCGGAAACCATTTTGCGATTTGCGAACTACGTAAAACTAAAAATCGGAATTTTTGGTGGGAGTTTTGAAGTAAACTTGGATAATATGGCACTGTTTCGGGCTCACGTGATCAAGTGGAGTTTCGACATAGTCAATGGAAAAGCGGCATTCAGGATGGGTGCAGGATTTAAAAATGACATCCCTAAAGACTTAGTTCACACAATCGCAGACAATGCTGACAGTATTCTAGCCAATATTGATGGAATTTCAAGTATTTTTACCCAGCATATTCAAAGATTTCTCGACAAACTGAAGAAATATCTGCCATTTAGTCTTGATAGATTCGTGAAGTTTATTTCAGAAACAGTCGAATTTCTTGCCCGTACAATTCAAGTTACACGCTTTGGAAATTTTTTTAATGGAATTGTGATAAATCTTCGAAGTGCGTGGCGTGCAAGTGAATTTTGGTTAAGAATTGGTAATTTAGTCAAGAAACTTACCCTAAACCTTTCGAACATAAATCTGTCGGCAGGGTCCTTTGGAGGAGCATTTAATTTCCTCAACAAGCTTGTAGATCTTTTCTCAAGACTAAGGTTTAGGCTTCCACGAAATTTCCCGGTAAATTTCAACATAAAGAAATTTTTGACACACATCAATAGGCCATTTCACTCGACTAGTGATGCCGTCGAGGATTATTTTAAAACTTTAGGTTTTAATGTTCCGAAAAATTTCTTTGAAATGTTCCATTTCAATTTTGCACTTAACTTCATTCCGACATTGGACAAGTTTAAGATTTTTGCGTTGCGTTTGGCACATTTTGGAAACCGTTTCCTGGAAATGCTTTCTGTTTTTCGAGATATGTTTAACATCGAACTACCACGACTTTATCTCCCGGAATTCAATCTGAATGTGAACAGTAACAACGTTTTTAACAACAAAGATTTTGACTTTGGTTTGCCTTTTGACTGGAGAATAACATTCAACTTTAAGACTGATTTTTCGGGCCCTGACTTTGCAAAACTTACAAACTTATTTCGCTTTTTAACTGAAGTTTTCCTAAGTTTAAGTAATCCAAACATAAATTTTGAGCAATTCTTTGTTGAAATCCTGCCCGAATTCAGAATCAAGTTTGGGTCTAAAGAGCTATTCGGTGATGAAGACGTTTCCAACATAGCACAATGGTTTCAACTCGTTGTTAAATCTTTCCACAATCTTCTAAACCATTTCGATTCGAAACTGTTCGACCTTAGCAACACTGCCAATTTTTTAGATGAACTATCAAAGATCATTGGCCACTTCTCAAAAGGAACACTCGCGAATGTTTGCAAACTGCAAGACTTCATGTTAAAATCAGCGGGGAAGTTAGAAGTCTTTGGAGAAAACCTTGAGAAAGATATGATTCTTGGAATCAGAAATGTTAGAAATGAAGCCAAGCAGGCTATTGGAGAAATTATTAACATCACCTTGTTTGTGGATGAATTTATTGACGAACTAAAGCAGACTGTATCAAGTAATGCGAAGACCTTTGTTGAGCAATATTTAACAGCACTGGAAGGCTCTTTGGAAAATGTCGCGCAACTTGCAGATATCTCTGTAGCATTCTCGTTGAAGTCAGCAGACAAATTGAACGGACTTTGTCATAAGACTACTAACATATCTGGTGACATCTTGGATCAAATTCAGTCCGCAGCACAAAATGCCGTTAGTGAAATCGCTGACTTTGTCACCTCTAACTCGGAAGGACTTGCTATTGTTATTGATCAATTTAAAGTAGTTGTAAAGACGTTGGAAGATTGGCACCAGGAAAATTTAGCGAAGCACTTGGGTAAGGTTACAATCGTCAGCCAAACCATCGACGAGTTCTTATCGTTAATCAAAACCGAGAACAAAGTTTTCTCCGACATTCATAATGTTTTCAAGAACATAAACAATGTCATTCAACACCTGAATAATTTACCCGCGCATGCCCAGAAAGCGTATGATTTTGCAGATAACATTCGAGACTTTGAAACAAATGCGAAGCGCTGGGGAGTTGAATTTGGGAAACTTAACATCCGACAGCAATTTAATGTGAACTTTGACGAAAAGTTACGGAAACTTTGCAATGAATTTCATTCATTTGCCAAAGATACCATCAAACAAATTCAGAACGACAATCTATTTAAAATCTTCCGTGAATTTGTTACAAAACAAACTGATTTTTTTATCTCGCAATCTGTTAAGAAATTAAATTTTCTGAAAGTTCCGTTGGGAAAAGCGCGAAAAAATCTAGAGGAAATGTCAAACTCAGTTGAAGAAATCGAAGCCTTTTTACTAGAATTGCGACCTTTCTCTGAAAATTTTTCGCCAGTGTTTCAAGAAATCCGCCAGTTACCGAATTGTTCGGACATTTATTCTACCTTTGATAACATAATCACAAATAGTGGAAAAAAAGCAGTATCATTCGGGAAACAGGCCTACAAAGAATATAGCACCATGAAATCTGAAATGAAAGCGTTTTTGGAACTGTTGCCAGATGAATGGGAAAGTTTGAGTTTGCAAAAATGTATTTCTGGGGGAACGTGTCTGTCTAACTCATTAAAAAAGCAAGGCCAAAGCGTTTCAAATAAAATGGAGAAACTTAAAAAGAAGTTCAATGACTTTAACTTTGAGGATAAACTGGAAACGTGCAAAGATAGCGTGGAAGAAGTCTCACAAATATTCGAAAAAATAGAGAATATTTCGAAATTGGTCAAGGAATTTTCATTTAAGGAAGAGATCCTAAAGATTAGGGATTTGTCTCAAAGAATCACGGGCAAGTTTTTCGGTGATGGCGATGGGCATGAAAGTCAAGTAAGTTGTATACATTGATCTTTATTTCTAAAACACCGCACTGCAGTAACACAAGCATAGTGGCGACTTATATCTGCTTGAGTGTCACGTTTCCGCATTGGTCATTCGTTTTTAGTTTGGCGTTATTTTCCAGTTTAGAGCAATCACTTGCCAAAATCAAAATCAAAATTGACATTTTAGAACACACAGCGATTATTAGATGTGATACTAAACTGTCACATCTAATCGTCAGCACATTTTATTTTTCGTTACCTAGGTAAAAAAGCGTTCTGCTATACAACCTACTACGATTGCAAAAAACATTGCTGAATACACTAGAAAGGCCGACAAAACTCAAGAAATGATGAAGACATTGGTCGAAGACATTTTCAATGGTTTGGAAAAAGTATCTCGTCACAACATTGAGCCTTTCCAGACAAAACTTGAAAATGTGCGGCAACAACTTAACGTTTCATTTCTGTTTGGAAAAAGTTCTGCCGTTATAGGTCCAATTCTACAACCACTTCAGTCAGTTGTTAAAAGTATGACTGATTTCATCCAAACGTGCAATAACGTCGTTGATCCATTAAAAGGTACGATTTTAGACGTGCTTTTTAAAACATCGGATTTCACCGAAATTTTTGAAGGAAAACTGAAACACTACGGTGAAACTGTAACAGAAGTGTCGGAAGAAGTGAGCAACCTCATTGACAAAATTACGTCATTCCTCAATACAGTACAGTTACGTCAAAAAGGATTGGATATCCTGAATTACAAGGAGTGGAATCAGTATCAACACTGTTCTGCTGAAGTTTGCCTAAGATTAATGCGACGATCTTCAGCGCTCTATCTTGGCACGATATTCTTGTGGAAATATCCGCACTTGGATGATTTATCATCGACATCGTTGTCAAAAACTGGAAAGTGGCTTGCACCGGGTCTCTTTGATGATTACAAGATTCGTGGTATTGCTCAATTGTCCGACAATGAAATGCTACTAGGAATGCGAGGTGTCGCAGCTAATGCAGAAAAAGCTTCATTGTTAGCTGTTGTTGACATAACATCTTCAAATAGCGAAATCCTTAAAATCGTTCAATTGGAAAAGGATGGTGTGCCTTTTCGGGGCGACATGGGTGGTGTAGTGGTTGTCAAATCGCTCATTTGGATAAGTAGTGGTAACAGTCTTTACGGTGTTCGCTTATCGGATATTCGTAATAGCATGTCTTTAAAACGTCCTTCAACTATTAGCATTAGTAAGATAAAATATCTTCATTATCAAGTCACATCAATTTCATACGATGACCGTGACAACAAAATTTGGATTTTGGAAGGCAATAAGGCGCACAACCATGACGTCGGTACGTTCGGAGGTATATTAGAAGAGAAAAATTCTCTTGTTGTTACTGAGGAACACACACGTGGTTTTACAATTGTGCGACAATTTGGTATCAAATACGCATGCGTCGCCAAATGTTCTTTAATTGCAGGTTATCAGTGCAGATTGGAATTCCACAAAATCGACGCGGGAGTTCTTGATGAGTCAAGTATTCTAAGAGTCGTTCGAACACCTACAGGTTTAGAGGCGATTCAAACAGTCGACACAGAGCACGTCGTCGCAGCGTTTTCCAGCGCAACTTTCTCGGAAAAGGACAAAATTCAACAAATTGGGGGAGATTTTGAAGACCGATATTTTAAGTTTAATGTACCGGTTCTAAAAACAAATTTTTCAATAACCGAGAATTGTCTTTACTTCAAAGTGGGTTGGAATTGGTTAATTCCTCGAAAACCTTTATTTCCATTTAATGAAATGATATGTGGTACCCGTAGAAAGCGACGTGCTCTAGAGAGAGCTTTGGATGAGGACGTATACACAGATGAATTGGAAAAACATCATAGAACCAGACGTCAAGCGACTGGAGGAGTGGCTTGTATTTCGAACATTGAAGGAAAACCTTTCACTGGTAATTATAATTAATTAATTATATTAATATTATTGATTACCTTCATTATTATTAAATTCAAACAGGATCCATCAAGCGATGCAACTGCGTCGTTTTGGCCAGTTGTTTTATTATAATAATTCAAATTCTGTTTGTGAAAGCTGATGAAAGGGTAAACTGAATTCGGACAAAATCAAATTACTCATACTTTGTCATACTGGATTTATAGACTGCGTGATTACCGTGAGATATAAAACTAAAGAATCAGGTTAAAGAAAGTCGCGCTGGTTTTCTATGAAATATTTTTAGGATCAAAATATTTGAACTTGTAGAGGGAAAAAAGGGACTTTTGCAAAGTTAGAGGAAGCTGAATTTTCAAGTTAAAATGTTGAAAATCTAGGGAGCCTCAAAACAGCAGGTCGCTAATTTAAATAATATTGAAATGCAGATGTTGGTCTGTTTGTTCGGAATCATAAACTTTGGTATTTATTCATGAATAGTATGCCTTCGCGCTTTTCATGTACTTGTTTTGCGCATGCCCCATGGAACCGCACTGCAGTAGTGCAGTACTATAGTCTGGTTTAATTGTAAAGCATAATATTTGAACTTGTCAGTTATGCCAGTTTGGAAGTTTTTGTCTAAAAGCTAAAGTCCCAATTTTTTTCTTAAAACTTAAGTAAGTCGTTAAACTTGTAATTTCCCATTGAATTTAAACTATATTTGGACTACTTTTTAACAGATGTTTATGTCTTTATACAGGGTCCCTTCCAATTGTCCCAAAAATAGGCTTTACTGTTCCAGTATTTGGTATACCCGTGTACTTCTTCTTCGGAGCAGATTTGTATTACTACGCAAACTATCGAATATCATTGTGTTTACGGGACAGAGAAGTGCGTCTTGCTCTCATACCTGGTGTGTGGCTCACTGTTTATGCTGGGGCAAGTCTGCCATTGATAATTGTAGAGGCGGGTATTACCGTAGAGGCAAAAATTTTGCAAACTTATCTTATCCCTGAACTTTCTGTACGTGTAGACAAATGGCCATTAAACGCTTGTATCCAGCTAAAGATGCAAATGACCCCCCTGAGCATACGCGTATATCTCTGGTATCGTTTTAGACTTTGTCCTGATATAAGTTACGAACCGTGGTTTTCAATAAGTATCTCATGGAATTGGTGTGCAAAGAAAACATTTGCTGAATGGACGTGGTCATTGCGATCCATTCATAAAACTGTATTCGACAATTGTAAACGTGACATCGACAATACACGCCCTGGCGTAGGAGTATGTAATGCCAAGCAGGTCGGAAATAAAAAGTACTTAATTCAATGGCAAGGTTTCACCGAAGATACAAAAATTGAGACTTATATTGTTACCATTGGCTCAATATTTGGATCTGGCGATGACCATTATTCTATACACGAAGAACGTCAGAGCCTTACGGTACCCAATCTAGAAATTATGCATGGCAGATCTGTTTATGTTGGTGTGTATGCAATTAATGGTGGTGGTCTGAAAAGTGATGTTGCCCACTGTCTGGTATTTACTGCCAAACGCAGATCACCCGTTATAACTTTCATCAACGACGGAGATTCTTCGACCGACATCGACTATCAAACGGATGCTACCAGTCTTTCGATGAAATATGGCTTTGAGGGAACATTTTCAGATTTATCGAGTATTACATGGGGAATCTCATCGTCAGGGAAATGTACATTTTCTGAAAGTGAAGCTGATGTTCTTCCTTTGCAAAATATTGGTGAGAGTTACACTATTAAGAAGACAGGGCTGAATCTTATAAGTGGATCGAAGTATTACACTCGGATAATTGTCGTCAATCTGTTAGGGCTAGCTACAGTGGCTTGCAGTGATGGTACAACTATAGACACTACTCCACCAATACCTCGTAAATTCACAGTCGGAAAAAATGGTGGTAAATTTATCCCTTCTGTTCGTCGAGTGTCCGGGAAATTTGAACACTTTATAGACAACGAAAGTCCAATAGTTCACTACGAGTGGAAACTAATTGACGAATACACTGGGAAGGATGTTACATCATTCACAACAATACCGTTGACACAAATGTCTCCATTGCTCGATGGCTTAAGTTTAACGTCTGGAGGAAAATATACCGCCGTACTGAAAGGCACAAATGCCGCTGGCCTTCACGCAGTTGTTAACGTATCCGGCATTATCCCTGACGATACGATTCCAGTGTGCGAGGGATTACCACATGATGTGATTGGTTTCAATGATGTTGATGACAGAAATTTTGTTTCCAGTCTTACTAATCTCACAGCGATGTTCTCGTGCTATGATGACGACAGCGGTATCCAGTCGATTCAAGCCGGCGTAGGAACTTATCCGGGTGGAGAAGACGTCCACTCATTCGTCGATATAACAGATTTGGCACTGAAAGAGTCAGAAGATCGCAAAACCACGTGGGTCACATTTGTTAATGTTAACATAACAAAACGGATCAGGTATCACGTCACAGTGAAAGTTGAAGACATGACAGGTTACCGAAGAACTATTTCCTCTGACGGAATACTCATGGATACAACAGCACCCACAGTTTTATCGACTTATATCAGAGATGGCCTTAAAGGGATAGACAGAAAGTACAGCAAGGAATTCGACGTTTTTCCGGCGCATTGGGAAAACGCGTTTGCCGACACAGAAAGTGGAATTGGTGAGTATTTCGTAGGACTGGGATCGAGTGCAGGTTTAGGTGACAAATCAGCGTTCAGAAGTACCAATTTGAGTACGAAAGCTTTACTTCGTGGTGACAGCCTCGAAAGTGGAATGAAATATTATGTTACAGTCGTTGCATGCAACAGAGTAGGCATATGTGTGAATGGCAGCAGTAATGGAGCAATAGTAGATTTTATTCCGCCACATACCGGTTTGGTCACAGCTGGTCAGAAAGGACCACCACTGGAAATAACATGGATTAACAAAGCAGCCTGGGCCCGATGGCAGTGGTGTTCAGCAGATAGAAGTGAACTTAGTGCCTCACCTGACACTTGCGACGCGTTAAGTTTCTATGATGAACATTCAGGAATCAGACGCTTTGGTTTAACCGTGCTTTCTTATGACACGGCTAAAATGCTGACACAGGTAAAGATCGTAGGTCGTGTTGTTTCCGGAGGACTTCATGTGGTGATGCCAAACGGCGTGTTTTCTGTAGTTGTCAAGGCCGAAGATCGTGCTGGAGGTAGCTCAAATGCCATATCTAAATCATTTATCATTGATACTACCCCTCCAAAGATTGTCAAACTTTACCATGGCAAGGAAAATGAACAAATTATGTATACTCGTGCGAAAGACTATCTGTTCACGGCATTTTTTGAAATTACTGAAGACATTTCGGACATCGTTTCGTACAGTGTCGGCGTGTCTACGTTTCCCGAAGGAGATGACCTTGTATCCTTCACGAAGTATGGGATCAATGTCGTGGCCAACATCATTTGCGTTAATTGGACATTAGCAGACACAAAAACCTTAATAAATGGACGGAAGTATTATATAACAGTGAAAAGCACAAATGCTGCAGGATTATTTCTGATTAATTCGTCGCCACCTTTAGTTTTTGACAACGAACCTCCACTGGTATCTCTCGTTTTCGATGGCTGGGGGATTCAGGATTCTCAATACCATCCATTTCCGAATATTTACCGAATGCATTGGCAAGGAGTTTCCGATATTTCTGGAATGAGGAAGTTAAAGTATGCTTAAGTTCAATTCTGGATGAAAACGAGTGTAATCTGCATCCCAAGGTGATAATTTCTGCAAAAGCAATGTCCCACACGTTTACAAATATATCCCTACAATCAGGAATATATTGTTACGCTTACCTTGGAATAAAGGACAAAGCTGGCAACTATGGCAACTTCTGGAGCAATGGAGCATTAACTGACACCAGTCCACCGGAAAAAGGCCGAGTAACAGACGGACGTGGACGAAATGATATAGATTACCAGCGTGAAACAAATATTCTTTATGCAAGTTGGTCGGGATTTTCTGAAAACGAAACCATCATTCATCACTACGAGTTAGCATTCGGCACCGGTCCAAATGATACCAATGTTCAACCATTCACAAATGTTGGTTTAGTCACTTCAACATCCAGCTCAAATCTTCTAGTTTCGGAACTGAAGAATGGTGTGGTCTACTATGCACAAATTGTCGCGTACAATATATTGGGAATTAGAAGCGATATCGGAATCTCTGATGGAGTTTTGGTTGAGATCACGCCTCCTATATTTCTATCGCCGGTCTCCGATGGAACATTGTTTGGATCTGACTTTGATTATTCGAGTAATTTAACGTCGTTGTCAATAAACTGGAAATGTGAAGACAAAGATAGTGGGTTAAGACAGGTCTTTGTCGGGGTTGGCACACAACCTGGTGTTCAAGATATCGTTGTGTATCGCGCCGTATTACCGTACCAAAATGCCTACAACTTTGATGGCTTGAACCTGACAAAAGGCCTTAGGTATTTTTTATCAGTGAAATGCATAAACAACGTAGGTCTACAAAATTCAATGTCTAGTGATGGTATTATTATTGATTCTACCCCACCAATGCTGAAATACATATACATCGGCAGTAAGCGTTATCAAGATTCGCCACATATTGGACTAGGTTCTGTCGTAACTGGGAACTGGAAATTCAAAGACTTTGAAAGCAATGTTGTTACATTCACGGTTTCTATCCATCATATGCAAAATAGCACACGGGTCGTCGGCCCATGGATCTTTCCTGGAAACCAAACCTTCGAATATTTCCATTTGAGACAGAACGACTTGGCGCATAAAGAACGCTACGTGCTTTCGGTCATAGCTTTCAATGGCGCAGGGCTTAGTGCTACTGGTCTCAGCAAAGCTTTTCTTGTCGACGGAACTGCACCTATTTGCACAGGTATATATGATACCACTTTAGATGGTACTAGATCCAGCTTTAGCGGCCTTACTGCAAAGTTGGTTTTTCACGCTAACTGCAATGATGCTGAAACTGGAATTTCTAAATACCAGTTTGCTATAATAAACCTCAACACATCCGAATATGTTGTTCCATTCCATAGTGTGAAAGCGAATTCCGATTTAGCATCTCTCATTGTCGTTGACGGCTTTGGAAAACAACTCGTTAAACTTGAACATCGTGGCCACTACCAAGTTGGTCTTCGGGTCACCAACAATGTTAACCTTACCAGCCAGTACTGGACCTCCGGAGTTACAATTGATACTACTGGTCCCATATTTCGTAGAGTTATATCATCATACAACGTTCACGGCGACGCATTCCAAGTTGTCTGGGAGCTTTTCGATCACGAGAGTGGTATAAAAACTCTGTATTGGTCTTTTAATACATCTCCGAATGTTGAAAATCCTGAAAATTTCATTGAAATTTCACAAAATACCACAGAACTCCTAATTTCTGACATATCTTTGAAGCTTGGCGAGACGTACTATGTTTATCTTAAAGCTATTAACAAAGCTGGATTGTCAACGTTGTTTGTGTCAAACGGTGTGGTGGTTGATCGAACTCCACCTTCGGCTGGCCGTGTGTCGGCTGACTTCGTGCTATCAGAAAATTACGATGGCAATCCAAACACGACCGACGGTGCTTCATTTCCGGTCAGATGGAGTGGCTTTATCGATCAAGAAAGTGGCATAAGATCATATGAATGGGCCGTCGGACTAGTTCAAGAAGAAACAATTGCACTTGGTGACGATTTCTTCACCGCTATCCAGTTTACAGGCTCTACTAATGGCTATATTATTAAAGATCAGACCATACATACAGATATAATATACTATGTATGTATAAGGGTTACGAATGGAGCTGGACTGTCAACTACCAATTGCTCAGCCGGAGTGCGAGTTAAGTTGGGAAAACTAACGCCCGGTGTTGTATACGACGGACCTTTAGACCAAGATATTGATTTTCAACTTGATGATAAAGCATTATGGTTTCGTTGGTCCGGTTTTGAAGACCCGGTATATGCTCTAAAACAGTACGCCTGGTGTTATGGACTAACTGCGAGCGCGCAGAACGACACATTTAATTGTTTGAGTTCCCTGTCATCTGTCGATCCGCCACTTAAAGTTTCCGCGCACAAATTTCACAATATCTCCTTACTACATGGAAAGCGTTATAACGCCAAAGTCGAAGCGGTAAACCAAAGAAACGAAATCGTATCTGCCATCTCAGATGGTTTTACAGTTGATCGTACAGCACCTAATGCGGGGGTATTGCAAATCGGTGGTTCACACGGTACAAGGACAGTTTATCTTACCGGAATTTCTGCCCCTATCGTGTCATGGTCTATGGACGAAAGCGAAAGCGCGTTGCAGGAATTTCAATTTGGTATTGGCACCTTTCCAAACCGTGATGATTTGTTTTCCTTTAGCAAACTTGATGGAAGTACGTATTCCCTGAATCTGGATGAAATAAATTTCAACCTAACTCACGGACTCGCTTTCTACGTCACCGTTCTTGGGGTAAATGTTTTGGGACTTGAGACGAGAATAACTTCCCCGCCAATTGTAGTTGATTGGTTGCCACCAACGCCTAGCATCGTTCGTGATGGCAATGGAACGGATGACATCGATTTTCAATTGGATGTAGAACACATATCGGCCACCTGGAATGAATTTCTTGATGCAGAGAGTGACATTGTGGAGTACATATACTGTATCGGACATAGACCAGGTAATGATCTATTGATGTAAGACATATACGTGCTTTTGGTTATAGAGTGATTAATTTGTATGCATTTTATTTTTCCACTACGTTTTTACAAGCATATAAAGACAAAACACAGTAAAAGGACTGAATATTTTAACTTCATATTTGGTATATTAATTTCACTTTAGTATTTTATGTTAAGCTATACAAATGAATTCGAAAGCACGGAAATTATGCTAAACCTTTCCATTACATGCATTTTCCACTAAATACAAAGTCAATATCTATTAAATACATCATTTTTTTTGTATGCACATACAATATTTATTTATCTGTTTTTCATCTCTAGACTTGTGCAATGTTCTAAACCGAACCTTTGTGGGCTTGGACCTACGGGCGGAAGCAGAAGTACAACTTCAACATGGCCAAACCTATTTTGTAACCGTAACCGGCATTAATAGTGCTGGACTGTCAACAACTTCTTCGTCCAACGGAGTAAGAGTAGATTCATCTCCGCCTGTCGTCCAGGGTTTCTCAATAATTTCTGCGACCATAATTGATCAAAACACGACAAATGGAAACATTACTTCTGGCATCACTGTTATTTCAACAAACCAGTGCCAGATATCCGCCACGTGGGATGACATCATCGACGAAGAAAGTGAAATCAAACTCGTATCAGTATGTGCAACCACAGTTGAGGAGGAGTGTGATTTACTTTCGTGGCTGGATCTTGGCCCCGATTCTTTGGTTTTCAGTCTTGACTTTGAGAGGCCATTGCAATCTGGAACCGTCTTTATGCTAAAACTTCGCGTTGAAAATGGCGCTGGCTTGAAAACAATCGTGAATTCAGATAGGGTTCTTATAGACAACAGTGATCCTGTGAAAGGTTTCGTCAAAATTGAAGGCAAAGACGGTTTGGTTTTGTTGCAGGAAGGCCAGCCATTGTTTGCATCATGGTGGGGCTTCAGAGACTTTGAAACTGGCGTTAAGGAGTATAAGTGGAAAATTTGTTTCGCAAGTAAAATTTCGGACTGCGTTACTGAGTTTGTAAGTGTTGGTTTGAAGAATAGCGTTGCTTTAGGTGATATAGGAATCAATCATGGCAAAGAATACAAATTTGTGGTCAAGGCAATAAACTTTGCGGGACTAGAAACTGAATCTGTTTCAAATTCGTTTATTCTTGATAAAACCTCTCCAGAAACAGGCAGAGTATTCAATGGACCAGACCCATCTGAAAACAAGTATTATCAAAGTTCGTCCACCGAAATTTCTGCCAGTTGGAAAGGTTTTCAGGACAAAGAAAGTGGAATTTCTCGCTATGAAATCTGCATCGGTTCAATACCAGGTCTTTGCGATGTTTCTGAGTTCACAACCGTTGGCTTGGCTACCAATACGCTTGTCAGCAATTTAAATCTTACTCACAATGCGACATACTATACTACGGTACGTGCTACGAATGGAGCTGGTCATACTAGTTTTGCTTCATCAAATGGAATGCTTATAGACCTCACGCCACCAATTGGTACTAATCCTCGAGACGGCGAAGATCTGGACACAGATCTCTCGATACAGGACATGTTTGTCAGCACTAACTGGGATGAATTTCATGATCCAGAGTCTGGAATTTCAAAACATGTCGTTTGTGCAGGAACCATCATGGGAGCTTGTGATTTAGTGCCTCCGATCACTGTGAACAATGGCCTTGCAGCAAGAATGACTGTCAAGCCAGCAATCAGTTCAGGAACAGTAGTTTACTCAACGTTGTGGGCATATAACGAAGCTGGTCAAGCGACAGAATTATATACGGATGGAGTGCTGGTAGATACTACACCACCAGATATAGGCAATGTAAGTATTAACTACCAAGCCTTAAATTCACAATTTGTTTGAAGGCTAAGGCGAATACGACTAATTCTATTATATTCACTTGTTGGGATCGTATTGGCACTTCCGGTTGCTTTAAGGATGTTTGCTTTCCTCGGAAAAGTAGTAAAAGTTAATACAGCTAACTTAAGTATGAATTGTTTCTCAACAGGTAAGTAGAAAATTACTTTGGAGAAACATATACCAAAAGTCAAAAACAAACATAAGTTTAGCACGTAAGAAATCTCTTATAATACAGTATGATATCTAAAATAACTTAAACCCCCCGTGGATGAAATAAGACCGATCCACGGCTCACCCGAAGACGACATGCAATTTACCTTAAATTGCCTCTTGGTTCTCCGCAGTCAATTCGCAATTAAACCACGTTAAAGCATCGATCTGAGTAATATAAGGTACAGTATTGAAACGTGTCGAAACTTATTTTCAGGTTGAAATTACGTCACCAAGTACGAGAGTTAGCAACGCAATCTACCTTACCAGCAAAGAATCTCTGTGCGCATCATGGAATTCTTTCAATGACACTGAAACAACTGTGGTGAACTACCACTTCTCTTTGTGCTCGAAGATGAACATGAACAACTGTCCTATTCCACAACGAAATCTCAATAATAAAACATCCATATGTATCGAAGAACCGCCTGTAATTGAAGGAGAGACTTATATTGTTGTTATTGCAGCAACTAACGAAGTTCGACTCAGTTCCAATTCCAAATCCTCGAATTTCGTTATCGATACAACGGAGCCAGATGTTGGTGAAATTATTGCATCGAATCCATTAGGAGAAACATATAGTTTCATCTCGTCGAGCATATTAGCACGCTGGAAAAGTTTTTTGGACAAAGAAAGTGGCATATCAGAATATCTTATTTGTATTGGAAGCAAACCTGGTTTATGCGATTTGAAAGAGTCGGTTTCTGTCGGCAAAGCATCACAGTACACATGGTACAATTTGAGTTTGGTCAATACAGAAGAGTATTTTGTTTCCATAAAGAGTGTAAACAATGCTGGGCTTTTCACGGATTATATTGCCTCAGACCCATTTACAGTGGATGCAACAGGTATGCTCTATTATTTAGACTAGGTTATCTCATATCTGATCATTTTCAAATAGTGGCCGTATATGTGAAAATAGTGTTAACTGCATACCTAATTTTAAGAATTTTTTATCACTGCACATTTTTGCGCAAAATTTAGCCAAGCAGAAGCACGCCCTGAAAATTTCTGAACACACCTTCATAATAATGTGTAACCACAAAACAGGCTACAATTGATATTCAAAAATGTGAAAACGAACATGCACTGCACAGCACCCAGGGAAATTTGGGTACCCAAGGCCAAATTTGACATGGGGCCCCTCGTGATTCCATCTTCTAACACTATGATTAGGGGTCCGGGAGCATTCTCCCCGAGAACATTTTGAAATCTGAGGCGGCCTTGACAGCACCCACAGCTACAACTATCTATGACAGCATAATTTCATAATCACATGCTTTCAGGAAAGAAATATTTTCGAATTGGCAAATGAAAGGCAGCTTAGGAGTGACAAACCTCTAGAGGAGTTCCAGGGGCATGCACCCACAGAATACTTTGCAATTTAGGCTTTCTAAAAGGGAATTTCTTGCAATGCGCGGAGACATTCTACACTAATTACACACTAATTACAAAAAGATAAGTCAATCATTCACTTCATCATCCAAGCTCATAAAGAGATCTTTCGTGAGAGACTTTATTCATCTGATGAACCTAAAGTATAATATTACTAGTGCGGACGTTTCTGTTATTAATCAAAATGTTTTGATTAATACTGTCAAGTGTCAAGACAAATTTTTAGTTCAGTTCTTCTGCTCATGCATTTTCTTGTTAATTAACAACTTATGACAGCAAATTTTATCACTGCACATTTTACATTTTATCACTGCACATTTTACTTTTATCACTGCACAAATTGGTTATCACTGCACACTAAATTAGGTATGGTTAACTGTTTCATGGCCGAAAAAGTAAAGTACCAAATTGAGGTCAATAATACTTATCCGTAGTTTGATATTTTACTTATAGTTGTCATCTCACTGCTAGAAGACTATTATTAGAAAATGAAAGGCGAATGATAAATTACGAATATAGCGATATTTTAATAGCACCTTTTGGTGTCTTGCAGCTCCGTTTCCAGGCAAGATTTTTGACGGTTCCGAAAATGGCGAAGATATTGACTATCAACAAAATCGTGACCAGCTATCTGCTTCTTGGTTCAAAGTTGAAGATCCAGAAAGTGACATCGTGACGCTTAGTTGGTGTGTCGGATCAGTGCCTGGATCATGTGATCAAATACAAAACACATTAATCGATATTACTGCCACTAAAATTTCTGCATTCCTCCAACAACCAGCTAGAGACGGGAATAAATATTACGTCACGTTGACAGCGGTGAATAGCGCTGGGTTGAGTACCACCATGGTATCTGACGGAGTAACAATTGATTACACATCACCTATTCCTGGAACGAGTGTTGTTGGCCAAAATAACAATACGGATTACGTGAGAAATGGCGATACAATCTATGCCCACTGGTCAGGATTTGAAGATACAGTCAGCGATATTAGGTCATACCAATTTGCATTATGCGAGAAGAAAAATATATCAGCCTGCGTTTTGGAGTTCACAGATATTGGTCTTGAAACTAACATAACTTTATCAGGTTTGTGAATTTTCATGTTTGGTTAGTGGAATGGTGTTGACAAAATAGCAGTATGTAGAGGTTGCGCACGCATTTCCCCTTTCGAATTGTTTTAAGAGTATGTCTGACCCGTATTTGGCAAGAGTACAAACCAGAGTATGGAGCAAAAATAATGTCTGAGGTATCTTGTAGCAATTAGAAGGACAGCGAAGACTCCCCACTTTTTTCATTTAGGTATTACCTCCTCCAGGAGGTTGCGTTTTCATCTGCGTTTGTACGTGTGTGTGTGCCTACTTAAAAACTATCAATCGTATTTAATACGAAAATTTGTCGAACTAATAGCCGTTGCCCATGGACAATTTGATTAGATTTTAGTTAAATTTGGATGAAGATTGAAAGAAAAATTGGAAGAAATTTGTCTTGCTTTGCCCTGCAGAGTGAAGTGAATGTGCGCTTAGCCCATTGTATAATTTATGCATGATACATAACTTAGTTTGTCCAGCTATGCAATCTTGCAATCTATGCAATCTAGTTAGTTCGCGCAATCCAGCTGTTCATTGAGGAAAATTAACACTATCGATTAACTTCCAGGTCTTGATCTGGAGAACACCAAGGGATATGTTGTAATTGTTCGTGCTACAGATTTTGTTGGCTTGACTGTTGAAGCAACATCGAATGAATTTATCGTCGACGAGACGCCACCACTTTCTGGATGGGTTTCGATTGTTAGTTCATTAGCAACAGATTTTGACGTGAAACAAATTACATCAAGGTATGTTTGCATATATTTATACAGTATATTTTATTTGCAGAATATCATTACCACAGTTAATTGATAGAGCTGTCTCCCTAAAAATAGTTACCTGTCTTATTTTAAGTCTATATATTCTAAATAAATTTTTATTGAACCAAAAGTGATTTGATATTTTTTATATTAAATTTAGTTGAAGTATACCCAAGATTGAAATTTGCATATGGCAGCACCATAGATATCTTATATACACTAGATAGCTAGTGCATCTAATTATTCTGCAATTCAAAAATTGAAGCCGTGATTGCAGACTGAGGATATTCCCATGAAACGAGAAGACTCGTATGTTCTCTATTTCTTAAACAGGGAACTTAAACATTAAGTTAAACCTATTCCAAATACATTTTCAAACTATTCAAATGATGAAAGTTATTGTAGTTTTTTAAGCGTTTATTAGCGAGTGGGAAACTCCAACATGACCGCCATCTATTCAAATGGGGGTAACCGCTGGAATATTCTTGGCTTCAATTTTACTAAAAGTGATGCGCTATCTAGTGTATATAAGATATCTATGGACGGCACACTTTACCAGGAAGCGAAGAAGCTTTCATTTACATTGATTTGTTTTACTGTTAACAACTGTTAACGTCTTTAATACCCCCGAATGAATCACCTCGCTCTTGCAGTGATCCTTAAAAGATAGTGGCCCCTATGAGCTGTTTATCTCGAACGTATAATATATTAACAAGGGCTTTCCCACGAAGGACTTTCGCTCGAAACGTCGAAATTCTGCTTCTAGTATATTTTTTGGTTGTTGTATCTCTCTTAATTACGCAGCTGTCTTGTTATCGTCGCTAGCCACACTGCCACCGGCCGTTTGAGATTGATTTTATTTTTTCAGATGGGGAAACTTTTATGACCCTGAGTCTGAATTATCTCACTATGAAATCTGCCTTGGTACATCACAAGGAGAATGCGATGAAATTGGTTACTTACCGGTGGGGTTAAACACGACGTATACATTCAATAACCTGACATTACGTCATAAGGAAGAGTATTACGTCACAGTTAATGTTAGCAATATGGTTGGACTTTCAACTGGAGTGATATCAAATGGCATTAAGATCGATCTTACTCCACCTGAACCAGTAAAACATATGGCAGGTGGTTCTTCCAATTCGGACGGCGTTTGCAATGCGTTATTTAATAGTTGCAATGGAGAAACAGGTAATTTGCCACATTTTACTTGCTTATTTTTTCTCCCATTGATCTTATATATATATACATTATATGTTCTAATTCCATGCATGAGAATTTGTATTTTCTTGTGTGGAATGTTTCAGATAAGTCATGCTAATTTACATATGCATAATGTAGCTTTCTCATCGAATTAGCACTTGCTATAAGGAAATCGTTTCTAATTTGAATTTGATTTTTGTGGCAGATTTAAGATTAAATATGCCTTTCTGTCACATGTACCTATTCTACAAAATCGTATCTAGAAAATTTTAATTACCTTTTGTTTCCATTAGGATCAGAGAAAGAGAGCGAAATCAAAATTTCATGCAAGGATGACCTGATAAAAATCACATGGCTATCTCATGAAGATAAAGAGTCTGGTATAGCCTTAACCGAATGGTGCATTGAAACTGTCAATGATACATGTAATATACAGAGCTGGGAGTCCCTATCACCGAACACAGTCACTGTCTCTGCTACAATCCATTCTCTTCCTACGATAACAGGTGTCGAAGTGGTCGTTCGCATTACAAATGGAGTGGGAAACTATGTTCTACTCAAGTCTTCTCAATGCAATCCCGAACGAATATTCCCTCCTCTTATCAACGTTTCAGTCGTCCGCCGTTTGAACGATACGAGACCTGCGTCAGCTTACCAAACCGACACAGACGTAATCATTGTTACCTGGTCATTACCACAAAATAAGTCTTTGTATTCGGGTGTCCAAGCCGCTCTCACAAAATATGACCAAAATGCTGTCACAACCATACTTGAAGAATGGCATGGGGAACCTCTTGTTTTTAATTTCGTGGACATCCCGAGCGGAAAGTCGTACATAATATTTAGTGGTGATAGATTGAAACCCTACGTCAAATATCGCCCAGTAGTAAGACTCTGCAATAAATTTGACCTTTGTACCGATTCCAGTGGTGATCTTATAATAATAATTCCGGACGCTCCTCCTGATCTACAGGTTAACACGACTGATACAGTTCAAGGAACAGAGCAAGATCGCTGGCAAAAATATGTTAGTGGAATCCCACGATTACCGCGAGAAATCTTTGAAGATACCTTATTTCTGCCAGATCCCCTTAGTGTGCTGATTAATGCTAACCTCAAGAAGGCAAACGAAACGACACTTTTTAACAAGCATGTGCCTATAACATACCAAGCAAGCGTGTATCGAGTTACCTCTGGTGCGAATGAAACGAGAAATGTAACGATTGACAGTCGACAGGTATTTAATGACTCGCATCTTTATAGCGATTTGGACGTGTGTTGTTCAAAAACAAATAAGTTGCCACAAATTGTGTATCCAGATCGGCAGTTCATACCGGTAGCGGAAACGAACTTATTTGGCGTCACGGTTAGTGCCTTTGGCAAAGACTTAATTGTGGCATCTTCCCAAAATGCAGTTTATATGTTTTCGACAGAATCATTACATATCACGCCCATTGCACATGTATCTTTCAATACGAGCATCAATGATAGTTACGTTAAAGTTAAAGCAAAAAATGATACTATTTTGGTGTCAGTTACTGGATCGTTGATGTTACAGAAGCAGAACCATGACAACCTTACTTCAAGAAGCTCATTCTTTTACATAACAAACTGTAATCATACAATGACAGATGCACCTGAACATTGTTCTGGCGATAACCAGTGGTCTTCTTTGGAAAGCATGGGACGGGAATTTGCATACGACGGTACTGAGATTATTGCTGTCAGAGGTAGGGATCCTCATGAAGGCTACGGTGTTGTTGCTGTTTTTAAGAATGATACTAAAGGATGGAGATTACATCAAGTACTTGGACGTGAAGAAATGGACTTCTCCGTTCCGTACAGTATCGCAGTAAATCAGGAATTCATGGTAATAGCAAGTTCTGAAGTTCGTATATACTCGAAGAAATTGGATTCTTTGTGGAAAAAAGAAACAACACTTTCGGAAACCTTCCCTCAAAATATTTTGAGTGCAAAAACCGTGTATTTGACGAATGAAAACGAACTATTCATACTGACAGTGCAAGCAAGAACGTTGCATGTTTTTGAGCTCGGAACCTCGCCAGTAAGGGCCATACGGAGGTGCAAATATGTATTTCCCAGAGACTTTGTTCTGAGCGGTGGTTTGGATGTTTCAGAAAGCAGTGGGATAATTGCAATTGGAATGAGATCGGGCGGACGAGATGGTGCGGAACTGATACTTTACGAACGCAACGAAGGTTGCATAACGATTGGTGGAGCATTTTCTAAAACGGAGTCACGCTTTGATGATGGCCATCCTGGTGCAACGGTGGCTATTACAGAAAACCACCTGATCGTTGGAACTCCCGGAAAAGTTGCTTGGCCAACCGATTATGTAAATGTGGGAACTGGACGACTGTACGTTACGACGTTTTGTAAACGGAATCATGTGCGCAAGAAAGTTTTCGAAGCCGACCAAAAGGAACGTGTCATGTGCACTCCGTGTGGACGAAACGAAAAGGCATATCCTGGATTTCAAGAGCAATGTACTAATTGTAGCAACAGTATTTGTTTGAATTACTCGACGGATGCAAGATTTAAGGTGTCGCATTGTGACACTTATCCTTGTACCGTAGAGAATAATCGAACCGTTATACAAAATGTGTCCAGAGATAACTTAACCGTTACTGAATCGACACAAGACTTTGAAGATCAAGATTTTTATCTGCCAGGATCCACACAGAGTTACTTCATCAGACTGACGCAGTTTTCAGCTACTGGAACGACGAAAACCTCCGATAGCTTTCCGTTTTCCATTGATTATTCTTCACCTGAGGCTGGTTCGGTTTTCGATGGGCTAGGCAGCGACGATACGCGAAATTGTTCAAAAAATACGACGTTCAGTTCCGAACACCAATGTACAACCCGGAGTTTCTCTGAAACAGACTTAGATTACACCAACAATACTTATGAAATCAGTGCTCGATGGATTGACTTTCGTGACAACGAAAGCAACATTGCGCATTATTTCTGGTGTGTTGGTTCGGAACCACTTCATGATGACATCATGCTGTGCGAAAATGCAACAAGCCACCTTAATAGGACCCTCAAAGGCTTGTCATTACAACATAATGATAAGTATTACGTAACTGTATTGGCGTGTAACTACGCTGGATTATGTACAGCCAAGTCAAGTGATGGGGTTTTGGTTGATACTACTCCACCAATACTGCATTACGTGAGAGATGGATTGGTCGGACCGGATATCGACTTTCAGGTGAGTTTGATTCAAATATACTAATTGGTATATATATTAAACATAGAATTATTCAGACCGATGTTAATGTTATCTGATTGTCATGACTGCATAGTGGCCGGCGGGAATGATGCAAGAAAGCATAGCATTTACGAGAAAATAATAAATACGTGTGCAATAGTTATTGAATGGAGAATTGTCAAGCCGAAGTTTGTGTTAAACCTTGATAATTATTTAATAATTGCTTTATTATTTATTTGGGCAGCCATTTGTGTTGTAACAATTTCTCACCCCTTTCGGCATTCGTAATTGGCATGACGTTAAAGCGTTTAATACTATTTTTATATCAACGTTATGAAGTCACTCCGTTAAAACTCCATATTTGGTCAGCTATTGAGTTGATTTGACGACTTCACAGATGGCTGATAGCCAATCAGAAATCATTTATTCTTTTAAATAAATAATAACAACTTTTGTCACAGCCATGTATTGCTTCGGATATGGCTTTCGTCAGCAGCACTTGAGAAAGGTAAAGAACACTTTGACCTTTCGAGCGGAGAATCTTTCTTGTGAAGTTCATATCCAAACATTAATTAGCGTATACTCTCGTTTTAGGTATTTACGAATCTAATATTTGGTAATTGGGAAGCGGAAGACCCCGAAAGTGGTGTGGTATCTTATGAAATAGGCTGGGGATCGGAACCGGGCTTGGATGACGTCTGGGAATTCCAAGAATTAGGCAATGCTGCAAGGTGGTACGCGAAATTCGGTAACGGTGGTCTTGAAAAAGGGCGCAAATTTTATGTCACAGTCAAAGCAATTAACGGGGCGGGTCTCGAATCGGAGCCAATGACATCCAACGGGATCACAGTTGGAAAAACCGAATTTGTATTTTCGAAAAATGATTCAGGTTCATTCTTCTTCGACACTGTGAACGTTGACTCGAATGCAACTATGGAAGATACAGAGGTCGGAAATACATTTGGAACTGTAGATGTTCCACCAGGAGCTGTTGACGATGACGTTAAATTTCAGGTGTATAGTGTTGGAGATAAAGAATTCAAGAATGGCACGGATGACAATACAACTGTTGTCGACCCAGAGGTTGTTAAACCACCCAAGGTAAAAATGCATGCATAGCAAACTAAATTTAAAAACAACGTAATTTTCGAAACAAATTAATTATTTTCATGTGCTGCTTAAAAATTACTATTATTTAAGTACTAACCAGCTTTCGTACACCTTATCCGGTTTAAAATTTCATGACTTTTCCACGACTCTTCATGACCATTTTTCAGAAATCCATGACTTGGAATTTTAAAATATTGGTAAATAAAGGCCGAATATCTATTCGAAACACCGGCCAAAAGTTTACATGCGGTCACAGAAACTACCATAAATGCATAATGATTCACATCCAATTTTCTAGCAAAAAGTACGTGCAATTAAAAATTGTGTTCATGTAAAATCTCAATTTCCATGACTTTGATTTTCCAGTCCTGGATTCTGAGATATTGAAATTCCATGACTTTTCATGTTTTCCATGATCCGTACGAAGCCTGACTAATATGCTAGACAACAGGAAGAAAATGCCAGAAAGAACTTGTTTCGCATAGAATAGTCGACATTTCGCATTTCCAGTTTTGACTGCCGTTGTTGTCCTTTTAGCGACTTAATGAATAGTGATGCACAACAATACTGCAGAGGAATAACGCCGGACGTTGAATTCGAAGTTGTATTCGTTAACTGCAGTATTGTCTGGGATTTCATTCGCTAAGATACGTTGAAACCTTGCTCTAATGCATGCAATTCATTCTAAATGAAAACAATTTCTATATATTTGTCATTCAGTTTCTCTGACTATAATCAACTTCATATTAGCAAATTGCCCAATTGTTTCCTTGTATTTTGTAGCATTTCAAACTTGGCGACTACAGTTTTCAAATTAAAGCTTACGAACCAGAAAATAACACGTTGCAGTCTCAATATCGTTTCAAGAAACCAATAACAATAACCTTGGTTTATGACGTCGATCAAATGTTGAAAATAAACAAGAAGGTTGTCAGTGACGAAGTGACAAATGAAGAGATTGATCCTGTACTTTTGCTTTGGGATGAGAAGAATCAAACATGGTATTTTAGTTTTGCCATCTCAGAGTATTTTCCCATACAAATTCCAAGAATATTTTCAATCTTAAATTGAATGTCATCTCTTCCATATTTCATATTGTGAGCACTTTTACTATAAGGCCCCATTTACGTGAGACCGAGGCGAAAATCACAAATCTTTAATTCCTCTTGCCCGCCATTTTCTTTTGTACAGTGCTTTTGTGAGCATGCATTGTTCCAAAGCGAAGAGCACATCCGAAACCGGTCTGAAATGTATTTGTGTTTACATTCATGCCCCGAATTCATTCCGGTCTGAAGACAGTCGTTTTCGGTCCAGCGAGCGGGATGACTTCAGACCGGTTTGAGCAATTTTTCATCCTGGTCTCATGTAAACATCTATCATAAATAATTATCTGATCGAAATGACATGTCCCGGGCCTAATCTTGTCATTTATAAAGTACATTTTGATACAGGTGCTCCTTTTTCGGAAAATGGGGTTACGTGATCAATTGTATAGTACCAAAAGTCCTCTTTGTTTTTCTTACTTGCCCGCCTGCCTGAAGAATAATTCACACCACAATACTAACTGAACATTTGTTAGTACATAGTGTTCTTAGTTTCGATGGATAGTTTTAATATGGTTACATTTATTTTATCAACAGGTTTGATGCGGCGAAAACATGTCCAGAACCATGGACACAAGTTGACAAGAAGGCGAAAGTTCTCAAAGTAAACGTTTGTCATTTGACTCAGTTTGCCTTATTTTGGACTTTCGAAGCTGAAAACGGAATATTTGAATTTGACAAAGGAACTAATGGTATGGACCAGCTAATCCTTTCTCACAATCGTCGATTTTAAATTACCTTTAGGATGTTTTGAAAGTTTCGCGGCCATTTTTTCTGCCTTTACTGGTATGATGATGCATGGTGACCTAAACTTGATCTGACATGTGCTAATGTCTGGTCCTTTCATCCAATTAACGTAAGGCAGAGATTTTAGTATTTTGTTTGTTCTTTTTAGACACCCAATCCAAACCTCCTCCACATGCTCTTATCGAAGAAGACAACAACGTGATCTATAGACCGGAGCGATACGGCGGTCAAATGCTTTTAGATGTGGCCAGATATAAAGGTTCTACAGGTGCCATAAAACTCACATGGGGTGTCACTATCGAACCAAACGCGCCTGCCTCATTTGTCGTCTCTCCTATGTCAGGGGAAGTTGAATTTAGCGAGGGACAGTGGAACTCTTCTATTCACCTGCGGTTTCCATTCATCCCCGACACCAACCAGGAGATTGGGATTTTTGTGAAATTGCTAAATGTATCTGGCGGTGCAATGCTAGGGAATTTTACCAGTGTGAAAATTACATTTCCATCCAATGTTGGCGATGATGAAGTGACGACACCCGTCAAAGGCAATAATAACAGCAACAAGAGTGATGTTATTTTGAAGATTCTTTTGCCATGCTTAAGTGGTGCATTGTTGATCATTGGGGTAATAGCAGCTATTATCGTTTTATGCAGAGGTCGGGATAGGTAAGGATGTGTAATATATGGTCCATAGATGGTCATCATTGCTATGGTTGCAAATTGCTGTGGTTGTTGCATGTAATTTTAGAAGCGAAAGTTTCGGTGATAATTTCAAGTACAATTTGCCTGACATGAAAGTATTATTCTGTAAAATTTTATAACCACAACGGAGCTATACCATACGAAAATTATCATTAATGGTAAAAATAACTTTTTTCTCTTTTTCTTCATAGCAAAAAACGGGTCAGAAGGAATTCGGTGTATAGGATTAACCCTGTCTTTGGCATATCGTAAGTATACTTTTTCTGCAGAAAGTACATTAATGTGTCTACAAGATGTTATCACTTGATTAATTCGAAAGTGTTATATCTCGAAATATGAGCGTACCAAAGCTTCAAAACAGTCAAAGTCGAAATGGCATAAGAAAAAATAAAACAAATCAATGTCGTTATGTCGTAATAACAACAAATATGATTTTTATATATGGGTAATATTTGGATCATTCTGAGAAGAAATGTAATATACATTTTTAGTAAAAAACGTCATGTATAGAACTTACCGGATATGATGTCATTAGATGAAATATAAATTACTTTGCTTTGTTTTTCTGCTGAAATTAAAATTCAACTAGTGACATCATATCCGGCAACTTTGACTGTGAAAAAGTTGATTAATATGAGGTTTTTACTATAAACATACATTACTTTTCTTAGAATGACCAAAATATTGCAACTTAAAATATAAAAAGCAAAAACTATCTAACTATCTGTTAAACACTAACTATCTACCGAAGAAAAATTCTAGTGGGAAGAGAAAATGACATTTAATAACGTTTCCAAGACTAATAGTACTTTTTTATTATTTTAGCCAAAATCTCGCTGTAGGACAGTCGGAAACATCATTTACAGACCAGGACCCACCATATTGAACAATAAATAACTGCACCGGCTGTGGCATTCGATTGGAATTTTTAAGTAGTGTATTTTAAGTTGTGCATATTTGTAGTATAGTCTATATATTAAACGAGAAGTCCCAAAGGACATGTAGGTATATATTGCGTAGATTTAATTGGGATGATAGATCTTTTTGTTGATCTGTTTAATATGATATGCACATGCTATGTAGTTAAAGAAAAAGGCAGCAAAAACTATGCTTATCCATTTGAAAACACGTTAAGAATAATTACATAACCATTTTACAACTTTTCGCTAAGTTTGTTCTTAATTTCTGAGATATTTGGGACCAAAACATCCCACCATCTTGTTTTATAATTAGATCTAATTTTAATGACGTCACAACACATAAATAGTCTATTGTCTTTAACTTTTGTCTTTTCCATGTAGTTCTGTAACTTTTGCCAGGTTGGTCTTCGCATGGGATCCATGTCCTACTGACTAAATGCTCAATCATACATTCAACATGTATTAACATTTAGTATTTTTATATGGTTGTAAAGTAAATAAAATAATAAATACATAAATAAATGTGTTCCATGTAACCACTATATATCCCTAGTTATCCCCCAACACCCTTCCTTTCCGGTTGGTAGCCGTAGAAACAAAAAAGTTAACATTCCATTGGATTCGACAACTTTCTCTTTAATTTTTTTCGGGAAAAACTCAATTGTAAATTATATGTTTTATGCAGTTAAGTAATCCTAAACATAAATAGTTTTCAGTGTGAAGCCAATAGCACAAAATTAAATATCAATATGGCGGCCATGTCTGTGGAAAGTTTTTTACATAATGGTATGTTGAGATGAATTGAAAATTCCATAGGTGTGCAGAAACTAATCATTACCCATAATAATGACACATGCATATACAACAAAGATGTATTGAACGTGTTTATTAATTGGTTTATCCATTTAATAATTAATTCTTCTGCAACTTCAGCATATCAAATGAATACACTTGATGAAACCATATACATACAGTGTAGTTTCAATGATCGAATTAAAGTCTGCATTATGTGTAAACTGTCTTTGTGTTCAAACTTATTAACATGGAATTCTTTTTCTTAACCACTCCAAAGTGTCCGACTTAACTTTGTCAGCATTTTCTTTCACTTCGTTCAGCACGTCATGTTTCAGACCTTCGTATATCTGGAAGAAACAAATGTCTGGAGGTTAAGATAAAATCTTCAATGTATGGTGCCATGCACACAGTAAAAAAACCGGTTTGGTTAAAATAACCAATGCAATTGGTCGTCTTCAATTCGATGAATATGGAATAACCTTTCAGGAAGTGAAGAATAAAATTTGCCGGTTACAGACGAACAAGTTTTCTATGACAAGTTTTTAAGAAGAAGCACAAAGGAAGAAACACAAATGTCTGGAGGCTACACAGTAACAAAAACGGATTGGTTAAAATAACCAATGCAATTGGTCGTCTCCAATTCAATGAATCTGGAATAACCTTTCAGGAAGTGAAGAATAAAATTTGCGAGCTTCTTGCTGAAACGTGGACAAACTTCAATGTTTCAAGCGAAAATGGAGGTTCAGAAACATTGGATTGTGTGCACTGACTCTAAAAACTAGTCTGTAATTTTGCACAAGGCCTACCTCCCGACCGACCCTATTTTTTTCTGCCGACCCCTGGAACGATCCCCGAGCCAACGGCCGTTTCGGGCGTAAGCCCGGGGCGAGGGTACTAATTCCGCCCAGCTATTTACATGCGGGGAAATGAAAGCATTAGCGAAGTCTAAAGTTCATCAGTGATCGCGGGCATGGGTCACCAACGAAGTTTCGGTGGGTGGTCATCCTTACTGATCTCAAAAATATGGCGGACTGTCATGAATAGCGGACACTGATTGGTCAAATTTAAAGTTTGCATTATAACGACTGCATGACGACAGCGAAATAGCAAACATTTCTTGATTTGATGATTGATGAATGATGATTTCTTTATTGATTAACCTTTTTTATTATATTAAAAAGGAAAGCAAAGTTGTTCGAATGCGAGAATTTGAAATCATTTTATTTCAAACTCAAAGTTTTTCGATAAAGCCTTTAAAGGCAGTTTAGTTCATAAAGAACATTTTAAAACGTCTTCCGAAGCATTTGAGGTTGAATTTTACCTTAAATTGAAACTTATATTGCGTATAATAACATACTTAACATATATATGTTTGGGGAATTGAAAATTTTGTAATTAAAAGTGATATTTTTAACAAAATTATCGTGTCACCATGACAACTACTTTAAATACTTCACGTTCGGAAAATACAATTTTCCAATTTTAACGAAATTCGCGATGCATATTTTTTCACTGTTTGGTGCTTGAATATTTGCTAAAATTGACTGGCGTATTTTATCGTAGCATGGCGTAGTTATATTTATTTGCTCTTTGACTAAAATGTTTAGCTGTATTATTGCTAAACATGCCGTTTTTGAGAATTTGGTTTGCAACTAGGTTTCAACATCCAATCAGCCCATTGAAAACATTAGGTCACGCACAGTTAAAACTGTGAGTCACGTCAGCTAGTTTCCTACTTGTTATTTTATTATCCATGCTTGTCCGAAGCCAAGATGGCGGTCAATTAATGCGTGTTTTTTGCGTGGGTTTGTCACGAAGTGTCGGTGCGTTGCATGGACATGGTAATGGCGCGATGTTAAATTTTATATTGAAAGACCGACAAGTTTGTGTTTTTTATTTCAATTATATAAGATTTTTGCATTCTTTTAACAGCAATTATAATACGAAATATTGCAAGGATATCGAGCAGCATCGTTTAATTGGTGACTTCAATAAAAAAAGTCGAACGTTCCAACAGCGACGAATTGCTTCAGCTATAGTTGTGGACTCCGGTCGACGAATAATTGATTACAAGATAAGTATTATTTAGAAAAAGTATTATTTTTACTTTGTTTCATGACAACTATTGGTTTATAAACAAGATTAACTTGTTTAAACTATGCCTGTCACGTACTGGGCATTCCATTCTCAATCGAGTTCTCAATTCTGCACGACAGATTCGCTGCAGACTTTGAATTTTGAGCCAAACAAAATTTCAACAACTGCCTCAAACAAAATCAAACAAGTTCACAAGGAAGCGAAGAAAATTCAAAGCTGTTTTGGTTTTGAAGAAACTGTGGCAATGAGAATACAAGATCTAGAGCTTAAGAAATGAAAAATACATAAACAACCGAGTGTTCAACGTTCTTCATCGTTGATATGAATATGAAATTCGTTTATAATTTCTTTCCAATTTCAAGTCTGACTCATGAAATCTGTGAGCGAGGAAAACGCCTTATTGAGTTATTGAAGCTTTGTGTATGTACTGATTTTAAAGAACAAGTACGATCGTACTATAGTGGACCAGGAACTGTGTGACCCAGTTTCGATCTTGTGCAAATCGTTAAATGTTCAAAACCTTCGAGATTTTGACTTGATAAACAAATAACTAGACACTTGTAAAACTAATAATTCTCAAAATTCCATGCCAGCGTAGACTGAGTTCGCTAAATGTTTTGCTTTAATTTGGTCATGCAAGATAATAATATACTTTATCCAGGCACTAAATATGTGTCTGGTCATGGCGGGTATAAATGGTAGCCTATAAATCTGGACAAAGCATAGATAACCAAATGCGCAGTTTTCAAAAGTATATACTCGCATTCGAATTAGATGGATTAAGACTAAACATGCCGTGCCTAAATTTAACTTTTGCCGTAACAAATTTTGCCGTGCCGTGCGTGCCATTGCAAAATATTGCATCTGCAGTCGAGTGTACGTGCCGTGTAAACGGGACTTAAATTAAGGTAACAAATTATCAGAATTGTTGCTATAAGTTAATGCCGTTCATTTCGCTTGGTAATGGCTTCATAACTGCATGCTTGTGCTAAAAACAAATTGACATGTCTTTCAGGTTCGCGATTTTCCGGCTATGCATGACTATGAATATTATATGATAGCCAGATGGGAGTATAGTACTCCTCTGCGCTTTGAGAAACTAAGCCAGCGTGTTAAATTAGTCAACTTAAGTCTGAACGCTTATAATTAATCGTTATAATTAGTCGTCCACATTCTTGAGAAGCTTTAAGCCTAGTTCACATATATGCCTGCGACGATGCCGGTGGTAGCTTAAAACGTAAATTATGTGAATATTTGTTCGCCGATTGCCTCCAGTGCCACAGTTACACCGGCGGTAGGCCGGGAAAGTTGAGTTGAGTTCAACTTTGCCGGTATTTCGGCGGCAAGTAGAGGCATAATGATACAGGGTGTCTCAAAAAAACCGCTACCCTTGGAAATTCACCATTGTTCTAATTTGAATGCCTGAGTGCTATCTTGAACTCATGGGTGCATGAACAATTTGAATGGAATTTTATGCTTAAGAATTAGTTATTGAAAAGTTTCTGGTTTTGTTCAGCATATGACTGATTGATTTAAACGCAACAAAAATACGTACGTCAAACAAAACGTTGTTTATTTTTACAATTATTAAGCACCTCGTCCTTCGACGTGGCCCCCATTTCTCTCAACACAAAGTATTGTTCGTCTATGCATATCACGCACGGCTCGGCTAATGAGGGCAGGCTGTTGTCGTAAAACATCAAACTCTTCGATGATTCTTTGGCGTAACGCATCAATATCGTGTGGTGGAGTGGCAAAGATTTTGTCTTTGAGATATCCCCAAAGGAAATAGTCACACGGTGTTAAGACGGGTGAGCGAGGAGGCCACTCAACATTGTGACCTAACCCTATGGTTATTTCCGAAGACTTCGTTCAGCCGATCTCTTACTTGAATGAGACGATGTGCTGGAGCGCCGTCTTGTGCCCACCAAAGACCCCGAAACAATCCTTCCCAATATTGATTGTTGAAATGCACAGCGAGATTAGGGAAAACAAATCGTTAAGCATTGCAAGATAGGAATGTCCGTTAACATTTTGTTCGAAAATGTAAGGTCCAACAATTAAACCATTTCCGCAGAGTCCTGCCCAGACAGTCAGTCAGTTTGGCACGGGAATTGTTCCTTTCAAAATTGAATGCGGGCGGATGTCCTTTAGGTGCATATTCACGAACATTATGTGAGTTCACTTCACCATTAAGGGCAAATCCTGCTTCATCTCCTATTAGTAGACTGTCCAAGAAATGTTCGCCTCGGCAGCGTTGATTGAACCATTCTGAGAAGCGTAACCGCGGCGTGGGAAGTCGCCTGCTAACAACTGGTGTCGCACAAACATTTGATATGGGTGCCATTGCAGGTCAAGCCTTGTTATTCTGTTAAAGCTTGCATGTGAAATTTGAAGAGGATTTCGGCGAGGACTCACACGTGGTGTTTGCTGGAGCAGAGCTCTAACAGCGTCAACATTTTCCTCAGATCGTGTGGTTCGTCTCCTACCAGAATTACCTTTATTAAGGTTAAGACTCGATCCAGCGTTCGTGTATTTTCTTACGTTGCTTAAAATTGTTGTTTTAGCAGGTGGATTCCGATCAGGAAACCTTTCTCGAAAAAGGTTTTGGACTGCGCCTAGACTCTGGGTTCGCGTATAATTTAAGACAATAAATACTCTTTGCTCTGTGCTCAGTTGAGCCATTTGCTTGACATTCACTAATATGTAATTGAACGATTTTCGTGCAGTTATACTTTTGTATGAACCTATTTTCGATTCCCAGGATAAAAAATTTCGCTTTTCAAGGATATTTTAATTCCGAAGATCTTTAATATATGCATCCTGTGAAAATGTTTACGCATTCATGGCTTCAACAAGCTTCAGGCATTCAAATTAGAACAATGGTGAATTTCTAAGGGTAGCGGTTTTTTTGAGACACCCTGTACAGTCGCAGGCATGCCGCAGGCATATGTGAACCAGGCTTTAGACTATTGTGATTGTGTTCACAACGAACAATAGAAAAGACAATGTCGTTTCTTATCATTTGCGCTTGCTGATATATTTGCTGAATATTAATGATATGTAATATTAATTGCCACGAATACAGTCAAACATTGCGCATATTTCGCTTTTAAAGTCAAAAATGAAAAGTGCTTAGAATAATTATGTCAAGTTTCATTCCGATCGGACAAGTAACGACGGAGCCTTAGGGTTTTTTCAAAGAGCGTCGCCCCCTAACAACAACAACAACAACAACAGCAACAACAACAACAACAACAACAACAACAACAACAACAACAAGATTAGCAGCGATTGGGGACCAGTTCCTGGTCCAAAAATATGCAAGTAGGTTGTCATATTTCGGTCGCTGTTAAGGACCAATTAATTTTGAAAATTGTTTACAATAAGAACCTTTCTTTGTAGTATTTTTTCGTCTGTTTTGCTCAAAAATTATCTCGCAAGTTTGTTATATGAAAGTCTTGTTATTTTGTGAAACACTACAACCGAAATATGGCAACCTGTTTGGCCGCTTTTTTCTCAAAATAGTAGATACACGAAGCTTCATAAGGCGCTTTCCTCGGTTCACAACAGGTCTGTCGCAAGTTGTTGAAAACAGCATTGCTGCAGCTCTGTGTCAACAACTTACGACAGGCCTGTTGAAAACAGCATTGCTGCAGCTCTGTCACAACATGCAGCTTGTAACAGACCTGTTGACAAGCCGTTGCGATAAGGCGAGCGAACGCATCCAGATATCGGCTTGTTGACAACAAGTTATAACAGACCTGCTGCAGATTTGTTCCGACTTGCGCGAAATTGGCTGTGTATTGTTTGCATGTCGATGGCAATCATTTCGAGCAAGGCACTGTTTAGTACTTTGAAACTATTAGAATCAGCTAAAAATATTCATATAAAGAGATTCAAATTATACAATTATTAAACATGATTGCATATTTTTTTGTTAACTGGATCTAGAAACTATACCATAGATCATGTATTTTCTCCAGAGCAACCAATAGCTATGTTTTCATTTAACCATTGTGTAATATCACGACTGGGTAATTAAACCAACACACTGCTATTGGTTGGTTGGGCGAAAACACAAACACGTGACGATAAACCGACCATTTTTTGCATAAACCAAGACAAAAACATAAATAATGAGGTCTGTTATGTCATGCACCGAGTTTCCTAACCTTATTGCTGCCCTCCCTATTCTTCACGTTTGCTTGACCCAGTACGTCTTTCGGCGACATATATATTGGCAAGATCTCGATCGAATCCCAGGTGTCTGTCCGCAATTACGGGGAAATGATTATTCTGGAAGTTTTTTAAATTTTATTTTGTATGGTGCTCGCATGATTCTTCTCAGGATTTCAGAAACGATCAACAATACTTTGCCTTTGGATATAAATTCCGGTAAGGATAGCTTTATGTAGCTGGCAATATACTTGAGATATATACTTGAAAGCGTTTATATTTAGATCTGCTGTTTTATAGTGTTCGATATACTAGGGTAGAGGTATTGAAACAATATTGATTATTGAATATGATTTTATGAATTTATCAGCAGTTTTATTCACAGATATTATATATTTATACAAGGAGTCAAATTTTAGTAATATTTGTTTGTGTGGCGATGTCCCAAGGCGATGAGTTTGTATATTGTTCATTCTAGATGTTTATAACAATGTGCTTTCAGCACGTTTTAACAACAAACGCGGACGTGTTGTGTATGCACGTCTTAATAATCAGGCTTAATGTATAAAAGATATTCCTATACTAGCAACCCAGTGTGGATTGTTGTCTACATGTTAACTTACCAGCAGTTACATGTAATATACCCTGCTGGCAGTGGTTTCTGAGCTGAGGAGAAACCACTGCGAGTTTGTTAGATGTAAACAAACTTGACATAGGCCTAGTACTGTTTTGTTTGTTGTCTGTCAGTTTTAATCAAAAGATACATGCAGTTCACAATTTATGTATCGGTTCTATAAATATCGTTGTTGCCAATATTAAAATATTTTGAAAATCGGTTTCTCACGCTACAAATTTGGCATTTGAATTTCTGTTATATCTTTTTCAATTTTTGTGTTTATCCAATCAATATCATTTTTTTAATTGGTCTACAAAGTTTATTTGTGTTACTTTAATTTAAACATTGGAGATTGTGTTAAGGTTTTCGGTAGAGTAAATTCCAATTTCGAAAGTTTCCAAATAATATGTTTATTACTGTGGATTTTGACAATTATTGCACTTTTTTGCGACCTCAACCGCTACAAAACATATTTCTCTAAAAGGTTGATTTTTGTTGCAATGTAGAATTTATTGTTATTCTTTTGAACTCTATGCGGTTTTCAAGTCACCTTGATGTATAATTTCTCACATTCTATTCAATATTTGTACACTTTTTTTGTACAAGGACAAGGTATTATATTTAAGCGTGTTACTATATTTAGAACGTGATGTTGTTTTCAGTGTACAACTGGCTCGCATTTTACCAGCAGTGCCAAGCATTTACCCATGCGCACGACAAAAACTTGTCAAACTTGTTTTACCAGTTTCTCATTAATGTTTCGTCCGTAGATCTGGACGGCGGCTACATCAAACGATCGTTCATTTGCTCGCAGTGTTTTTTCCTCAGCTCAGCTAGAAACCACTGTCAGCAAGGTACATGTAATAACATGTCAACTGGCTTTTTTTTTGTACAAGGTACGACGTTCTGTAACTTAATATATTGACTAACTTAATTAATTAATATATCGACTAACTTAATTAACTTAATCTATTGACTATGCTTAAACTAACTTGTATATGCCGTGGAGCGTTGGAACAGTGCATTCAAAGTTTCCGGTCCTGTTTCTTCTGGACAGCCGGTTGTTTTTGTTTTTTTCTTTTGTGCATCAAGGAATACTTTTGCTCTTGAGCAGTTGAGGGTGTTTTAACTTTAAATGCTTAAAAATGAGAGGCAATTGCCCAATTTTGATTTTGAAAAAAGGAACTTATTGCTACAGCGATAAGAGTTTTTATTGCTTCCCGGAATAATTTATAGTTGAAATTAATTATGCGAAATAAGTTATTTGCGCGCGCAAGTTAATTTAAGTGTAGTCACGTGACTGGAAATTTCGGTATTTATCAGTGGTGAAGTGGGCCATCTTTCCTTTCCTATTCCATATGGGCTGCAGTTCACATCAAGAAATTGGATGGAAGAGAATTATCTTCCGTATCTGGTAAATATCTCTTACTTATGCATAATAATTATAATATATTGGATACAAAGGACATTTCCAATTTGCTTGCGACATATGGATATTTATGGGACTTTACTTACAAACCAGACTGCGGGGTTGGCCATTTCGGGTTCGCAAAAGTTAGAAACTCGAAGTGCGGGTGCGCAAAACAGTTCCCAAGTGTGCATCAAGATGCAGTCAAGGGCACAAAAGTAGCGAGATACATGTTAACAACAATGAAAATTAGAGATTACAGGGCAGGTTAAATTGCGAAAATTGTTATAAAGTGTTAAATTTCTGCCTAAAAAATATCGAGTGCGACGTTGACTAACTCTGCAGTCTGGCTTACAATGACTCACATATTCATGACTTTTAGTCGCAGTCTACAGGGGTAACTACAATACACTCTAAATATGAATAAATGTGAACTTTAGGAATTTATTAGCCAGCCCCTAGTCTTCCGATTTATAAAATGGGAGCTAAATTTTTGGGGTGACATCTACCCTCAGTGTGTAATAGATAGTTTTGCTCACACAGCTACTCGTGGTCGTGATTCTACAAGCGTAGCAGATCAATACTGGGCTCCTTGCGATTTTGGGGCGGCGGCGACGGCCACAACACACTCCTTCAAATAAATGGTAGTAAAAATAATTCGACGCGTATTATCAGTCGCCGGTATAAATTTAATACAGTCTTAAGCGATAAATACACAGTTGATTAAAAAGTAAAATTTTCCTTTCGCTAAAAGAAAAAGTCAACAAGACAGTGAAACTATTTACTTTTATCATATTTGACGTGTTGTTTGAATGTTTTATTATATCTTTTATACATGCACAATTGACATTTCGCTTGTGCGTCAGTGTTCGTCTTTTCAAATTAGTTCCATACAACACTACGTGATTGTGCAGAGCCTGAAGGCGTCTTTTTCATAATTTATTCTGTCGGGGAGGTCAGGAATATTAATAAGGGAAGTGGATAGTGTTGGGTTTTGTACCGTTCCCATCGCTCTTTCTCGAATACGAAGCACAACATATAACTTTGGAGTTTTACAAAAGAATGTATTTAATAATAAAAATCATACATATATACTGTATACAAGATTATATCAATAATAACTATTTTGACATTAAAGGAATACCGAATGGTTTTCCGTGCAGGATTGCGTGATCCATGCACGCGGGATGTTGTGAGACTTTCGGAAAGCGTAAAAATACACGAGCCGTAGGCGACTGTATTTTTACGCTTTCCGAAAGTCGAGCAACATCCCAAGTGCATGGATCATGCTATCTTGTACGGGAAAACCATTTGGTAATTGTTTTATAAAATTACTACAGTGAAACGACGCTTAACTTGATTAAAATTACTGATGAAATGTGCAGTTCTCACAACATTCGTGAATTAACCAATCAGAGAATCGCTTCTTCACGCTATTGAAAACAATAACATATGTGAACAGAATTTGATCGCAAATTCGCGAAAATATACAGCGAAAATACAGGGACTTTTTCGATAAAATATACGAAATTTGAAATGGAAAACCCGCTAAACAGAGAGCCAAAGTAGTTTTCAAGATTCTCGACCTGAATATGTGAAGATTGCGAAGCGTTTGATCAACTTTGAAGCAAGAGATGTTGTACTTGCATGCCATGATCTGATGAATTTCAACGCTACGCGTTGCTACTTGCTGAACAGCAATGTATCGATCAGAAATTTATTCATACAACTAAACCAACGACACAATAATTGCAAACTTACTTCAAAGTCGAAAGGTATGGTACAATGAAACTTTACAATGCGAGTATATTTGTAAAATTATGTGCAAGAATTTCTGTTCAGAATTTCCCGTGCAGGATTGTCTGATCCTGCACGGCTGTTGACCAATCAAATTGCGTGTTTCACTGTAGTTATTATATAAATCACATTCTATTACTAAAATGCATGGTATACAGTTTGGTACATGGAGTACTGGAATTTGTGGTATCCAGAGATTACATTTTACATACATACTTATAGTAATCAATGTCATTCATGAACTATAATCTTATTATTGTCAACAGAATATCAGGAGCATATTCTAACAGATAGAATGTCAAACAAAGTAAAGGAAGTTTGATTAAATTGATAAATGCAGCAAAATACAAAAAAGTACATAAGTTTTATTAGAAATAACCATGAAAACGATGACACAACTACAGGATTATAATAAATGTCTAATTTTAAAAGTAATCGAAACACTAAGGGTGGTATCGATACCAACTAATATATCGGTAATCGCCCATCATTAATGCCAGTATCTATGGTAACGTCATTACTGCACACTGGTAACCCAAGTTGTTCGCGAATATTGCTTGCCTGAACAACGACTTTATACGTGTCTGTGTTCTGCAAATTAAGGCCGGTGAGAATATGATTATTTGTATTTGAAGAAAGTGTTGCATTATTTCTGCCAAGGTAGCAACTGTTTTCAGCTTTTATTAAAGACCATCTAACAGTGAGTGAACCACAAGTGACAGAAAAGCCGCTGAGTTGGAGATGTAATTTGTCTGTGCTTGACTGGAATGTAACAGTTTTCGCGAAGTTCGAAACTGTTATCCTTGCTTGACCTTCTTGAAGGTATATTGGATTGATAGCTGTTGGCGGGCATGTTCCAATTACACCGTTGCATCTACGAAAGTGCGGAATGTGTGCAATTAGTACGGTATTGAAAATGCATTGTGTGACCAACTCTGCGCTTTTTCCTGACACATCCATCTAAATTCCTGGCATTACTATCTACGTACTACAATACACATACCAATCTGCCTATCTCCACTTCTACTTACCAATTCTCACTTCTTCTATATGAGTTTTATCAATAAAGCCACTGTTCAATACTCACCCACTCTCTTTCAATCTGTCGACCAAGTCTACAGTCGACCGAGTCATGGTGTCCGTTTACGGGAGGGAGGTTTCCGCTTATGATGGGTTCATTAATATATAATTGATCAGTCTAATAATATATCCTAATTGTGGACGGAATATTTATCACCAAAGTAATGATGCATTTTTGTCTTCCTTCATTATGTTTGTAATTATAACCTATACTAAACAGATGTTTTTATACACTTAATCCACCCAAAGTATATCAACACCGGGTCTGGTCGTAAATGTAGTGATATAATAGACGTTTGGTCGGTATCCAAGAATGGAGTGCGCTGACGGGAGGTGTCTGTATTCTGCAAGGAGAGGTTCAAGTGTGTAAGAATTCTAATCTACACACAGTGTATACTACTTTCTTACCTTTCTGATTGGTCGCACATGTCAATAGCTGCACGACATATTGTTCCGTTGTTCTTCATGATATACCTACATGTTCCATCACCAACACATTGAGAAGTTTGTACACAACTGGACTGCGGATAGGATGCTTGACAGCTGTACTCGGTACCCACACAGTATCCATTTTGACAGAGATCTTGCTTTGTACAGGCATTGTTATCATTGCAAACAACTGACGGTCGGTTAGACCATGCGAGAATTGGTTTGGATGTTTTGTCATATATGTCGCACCATTGACATTCATTACTTGGGTTCAGCTGTTGATGGTTGTAGTCTCTTCCTGAAGAAATAACTGGTCATTTTTTTGTAATTTAAGAATTTTGTAGATCTAAAACATATGGGACATCAATTTAGGCAACTTCTTGTTGCATGCTTATAACTGTGAGACATTTTGCATGAGATTTTTTGTAGAAAAATTATAAATAACTATTTAAAGATGCTGTAAACTCTATAATGTAAACAAACGCTTTGCTTACATTTTGAACTGCTATATTTGTAAAATATGATATACTAACTGAATATCTAACACTTTTCTGGTTCGTTATTGTAAATAAATATAAACTAAGGTACGTTTCAATTAAAAAAGTTCGAAAGATGCAAAATTTGGGCAATATTTACATCTGCTGGTCCCCCCTTTGTTATGAGCAGAACTGATGCGCAGAACGGACTTTATTTATATCGCGACGTACCTGCTATTTTGCAAGTACAGTTATCCGCTACATATCCATACCCAATGTGTAAACCACAGTCACTGCCATTGCAAGATTGACAATCATTATTGCATGTAAAACTTATCCCTTCACATTGTCCATGTTTACATGTGTCTGACTTTGTGCAACTGTCTCCGTCGTCGCAAGGAACGTCATGCTTGTTTGTCCATGTTGTAGTACTCGCTTCAGGAAGACACCACTGAAAGAGTTTTAAAAATAAAGCTTTTGCTGGGAAGTTAAAACGTGAGTTATCGATAGTTGTGGGCATTTAGACTGGCATGAACGGCCATTATCTCCGGACAAGCCTCTGACCGTTGACATCATCTCTCAAGTGTCGCGATCTAGAAAATTGGTAGCTGTGATCATGCACTAGAAATGGGATTTGCATCAACAATTTTGTTGCTGGAAAGAGGTTTCACAGGTCAAGGAGTTGTCTGACTGATTGATCGAGGAAATTTCATTCAACCCCTTCCCCCTTCCTTCATAGCCTTCTTTGTTGGGACATCATGCAGTTCAGGTGAACACACTGACTATAGTGAGAGTAGTAGGGAAGTTAAGTTAATTCACCTAAATAAGAATAGCGCCGAAACCATGTGATCTGTTTGTGTATTGCTCAATTTTATTTAGTAAACTATAATTATTCCCTTAGTACAAATGAACAAAACTGATTGGTCGACGTCTCTCAAATTTAACTTTGGAACATATTTTTCCTTTACCTGACATGGATTTTCTGGTTTTTCCGTAGTAGCGGTAAAACATGTGTCGACATTGTTATAGTTGATGAGGCAATAGCTAGATTTTATTCGGCATGTGTCGTTATGATGATCCTGGCATGTTAAACACGTGAATGGCTCTCCTCGACATTTTCCATTTGTACACCGGTCATTTCTGGTCATTACGTTATTGTCACTGCACACAAGGTTGTTATTTGTCGTCCATGTTGTGGGGTTGTTGCTGTTGCATTCCTAAGAATAAATGCATTAAACGTTATTAAACAGCTATATAGTTACCGAATAGACGTTATAGTGTTGTTACAGACACGCCCCTTTTACATAATTGTCATTATGTATATTTAGATATGAATTCATCCTCGTTCCCAGGGCTTCTTGGCCGCAGGCAGCCGAAAAGCCGTGGGAACGAGGATGATATGAATTTGGGTTCAAGGAATGAAGAGTTATTTTTGAAATTCAACAGACGTGTGCACAAGGTATATGGGGGACTTGTAATGCGTGTGTTGTCAGGGGCATAGAAAGCAATGCAAAGTTGGAGGGTGCTACGGGTATCTTTTTTAGCTTAGGTACCAGAAAAGGGTACTTCGTAAACATTTCCTACCTTATAAAATGTAAACACACCTGACAAGGTTTCCCAGGTCGCAAATTCCTATGGCTGTAACATATTCCATCGATCACACAGAAACCAGGTTTGATCATACATCGATCTCCATTGCAACGTTGACACCCAAGGCATGTGAACGGTGTTCCTTTGCATGTGCCGTCGACGCATTTATCATTTCTCGTACACAAATTATTATCACTGCAGGATAGCGCATTGTTGTTTGTCCAAATTGTTTTACGATATGTTTGACAATCCTAAATATTAATTATTAAAAGTCGTAATTAAGTAACCTCTTGGTAATTAAGTGCATGATCTTGTGTTTATTTGATAAGATGACTGTTATTTAAATTACATAATCAGGGGCGAAACTAGCCCCTTTTAATTGGTGGAGGGGGGTGTCTGCTAGAATTGCTCTGCGAAAGCCGATGATGCCCTGCAGCAAAATTTTTTTTGGCCACTATTTCTCCCAAAAATGTTGGCGAGGGGAGGGAGGTGTGGGGGGGGAAGGTCGAAAAAATTTTTTCCGGTCATTTAAAAAACGGGCGAAAAAAATTTTCCGGACATAAACCAATTAAATTAAGGATCAAAAAATTTTTTTCTGACAAATTCCTGTTAAAACATGCACGTAACCCTTATTTTGCCAATCCAGATGATTTGTACTTTGGGGGTGTCACACTCCACCCACACCCCCCCCCCCATCAAGTTTCGTCCCTGGACATAATTCCTGGTAAAAATATTTATTTCGACAAAAGAGGTAGCATGCTCATTTTTCACGTACAAATATATACTTCCCTTCGATATTTGCGTGCGAAATATGAGGATATTTGACAATTATATTATTCACCAAAGTAGAGGTGAATAGTGCCAGGACCGAGACGCGAATGTTTTAGTATGTACCACAAAACAAAAATGACAAAAAAAAACAAGGAAAATAAACAATTTGTATTTTTGTAAATTTCGCCATCTTGAATCACGAATTGAACCCAGAATTGCTACGATTGGTGTTTATATTACAATGAAATAGATATAGATAGATGGTCTTATTCAATCCGATCAGATATTTCGTCAACAATAACTTGCACGGTGCTTTGCTCATGTTTTTCTACGATTTTAAAGGATGTTGTATCGTCAACGAAAATCGCATTACCGTTTGATGACTTTACTTTTAAGTCATTAATCATCCGTAATTTAGTTCCCTGAGGTACGCCTGCCAGAATCTCATCCCAACATGAAAAGATGTCGTTCTCCAATTTAACTCTTTGCTTTCGGTCGCTTAGAAAATCATGAATCCAATTTAAGGTAAAGGGATTGTAGCGCCAATAGGGTATTTCTCTAAAAGAGCCAAAGGCGGGGTGGATAGGTTTAGATAGGTGAGAGTGTTACAAAAACCAATCCGGCACAACACGCACCACTAGGAAGAGCGAAGCGCTAGCGCTTCGATGCGCACGACCTCCACAAGTGAGCGCTATACATAATTGGAATAATACCTGAACAATATCTTACATAGTGAAAATCTTGGGCTATGTTTACTTTGTATCCGATAGCTTGCGTAGTGACACAAAAACCATACCGGATAAGAGGGCTTGTGTTTACATATGAAATGATGTAATCGTATCCATTTCGTTTCGCTCTTCCAAGTGGTGCAATTTCTGCTGATTAACATGAAAATATTTTCTTGTTGAATCGGGTTTTTTTTCGTCGCAAGGAATTAATATTTTTTCAAACACTAAATTAATAAGTTTTACGCAACACATATATACAGGCGTACTATATATACGTTTACCCTCGTGTTTCGCGCACAGTTGGGTTAGGATGGTGTTTTACCCGACACTGATTTAGGATGGTGTTTTACCTGACACTGATTAGTTGGATTTACATGTCCGTATTGGAAGCATTTTCCACCAATCTTGCATTGTCGCAGTTCACAATTACCGCCAAGTTTTGTGTAACAGTCGTGACATCTACAGGTGTAACTGCCAAAAACATTATGACAGATATGTTGACACGGTGGACTGCTTGAACTGCATTCGTCTAAGTCTGAAATTGCATAGAAAATTTGTTATGAATGAATTATTCAACTTTGTGCCAGCCGGATTTAGGGTCGAGCAGTCGAAATCAATTAAGACGAGTTGTAGAAATGCTCATTAATCTTAAACAGACTTTTAATATCAAGGTTGTACATTTCAATGTACCAAGGGACTGGTCATAATTTATTAGGGGGGTGGGGAGGTGTAATTCAAAATTTTAAGGAATAATATTTTGTGACCCTGCTTTGCCATAATCCGGAAAAATAATGCCCCCTCCCTCTCTCTTGCTTGTGTCAGTAAAAATGTACCTACCTACTACTAAACTCTGCATTCAATAAATTTTCTAATTGCACTTTAAATTTTCTAATTTTCTAGTTGCGCTTTAAATCAAATACTAAAATTTATATTATACCAAATTAAAATACATAGTCATATATAAAACTTTAGTTTTTTCAAACTTTTCATTCTAAGTTTAAAGAATCAATTTTTAATGCAACTCAAACAAAATGTGAGAAGGCATGTATAAAACAATTAATTGAACTAAAACAGCAGACCCTCTCCCCGCCTTCATAAGCTGTCTAATATTTTATGAACCCCCCTATTTCCTGGCTATTTCTTTCCCCCCCCCCACTGTTTCCACCTCCCCACCCCTCCTGCTAAATTATGACCAGTCCCTAAATGCGGACCAAGTTAACCAATTTATGTGTCGCACTATTTTTCAGAAAAAATTGCGTCGAGTACCATAATTCTTATGTCGTATATAAAAAACAAAGTAATCATAACTCTTAACCAATGAAATCGCTTGGTTTTGAAGATATCCCAAAGCTAAGATCAATAATAAATCATTTCTTTTGTGGACATTCTTATACAATATTCATAACACTTACAACTTAAATATGTGCTCAAATTTCCCAACAAACACGAAGACAAGTTCAATGGACAATATGGTTTGTCTTCGCAAACAAGGAGGAAAAATATGTTCTACACTGAATAGTTGCCATGGTTTGCAAGTGAACGTAATTAACTATTCGGCGTATCCGATTTTTTGGTTTATTGAGCGACGCGCGAGGTTGTAAAATGTCACTACAATGTATTCCCGCCCTTTTCTTCTAAAAATGACCAGTTTATTCAATTTCCATGCAGTTTACATTCACTGTGATACATAAGTATCCAATACAAGGTTTTATTGAAAATAGTTTATTTCATGCAAAAAATATACGTTATAACATATGTCAAATATCTTTAACTTCTTTCACTCGGCACAGTAGTCCAACGTGTCCATTGTAACAAGAATAGAACAATAAAAATGTTTGCTTGGGACGACATGAAGTGTCTGTAATTCCGTAACAATGAAAGTCCGTAATAGCGAGCGTTATTTCAATGCATTTCATAGTAGTTTCGGACTTATTAGCTGTCCTCAATAGCGAGGTGTCCGTAATAGCGAGTTGACTGTATATCAAATTGTGTAATTATACAGGTATGAAATTGCAACAGTAATCTTTACTCACCTGACTCGCAGCAGGTTCCTGTCCAACCTGGCGTGCAATAGCATCGACCATACACGGGGGTTCCTCCGTTATGACATGCACCTCTGTTACATGGTCTGGAATATGATGACAGACCTGAACATGATGAACCTCCACAAGATGCACTTTGTCTTATGCTTCTTGTCCGTGTCTGTACTCCCGCACTGCCGCATCTATGACTACATACACTCCACGATGACCATGAGCCCCACTGACAGTTGACGGGGCTACATGAACGTCTTCTTCTTCTTCGTCGCCAACCACTAACCTGATCTTGTTGGAATGATAAGATTACAATGTAAACCAACACGATATTCATTGTCTTTACTTTCATATCTTGTATTCAGCATAAATTCCCAGCACGTGATGTCTGAGCTTTTCTCTTTTTTTCTATCAATCTGCAGTAAAACGAAGTGAGTATAAACAAAGGTGTTCTGCTTGTACAGTTCGTCCTCATTTCTATATTACAAACTTACATGACCACACACATACGCAGTTTATCTTTTTTTAGCCGAAAGTCAAATGTGTCTAGGACGAGGTTAAAAATGTCGAGGTTTAAAATGCACAATAGCTTAATGACTACCATCTAGTACTGCAACAAAGAAATTATTTTACTTAGGTTTATATCATATTAATAGTAATGGCTTTATTTCCACAGGGTAACACCAAATAATACCCGATGGCTATTATACTTTTGGCCGTCATAAATTATACTTTATATACATAGCTATTATATAGAAGCGTGTGGAGTTTATCTAATGCCATATTGGTCGAGGGTCAATTGTCGCGATTGTCAAGGACGAGAGTAAAGTGTCAAAAGGTTGCTTATCTCGTTCCATGATTGTTCCAAAATGTCAGCGTTTATATACTCGTCCAATCGTCGCCCCCGATTAAGCACCGGGCAAAGTGTTGTAGGGTTTGGGTCAACCTCGGGCCCAGGGTCTTCTTGGAAGGGAAGACCCTGGTAAAATACGCTGAAATCTACAAGATTTTTGGAGATTTATGGCACGCGCAATAACGACAACGTTATGTTGCTGAATATACAATTAGCACTGGCGCTTACGATTTTCTTGCTTAAAATATACCTCTTTTGTTTTATTGTTTGTATTTATTATCAAAGTTTTAACAAATTTTAGGAATTTTGGGAACCTTCGTATATTTAATAAACACTGACAGTGTTGGAATATGAAATTATATTGATTGATGGTACTGTATATCAAAGTACGTACTGTACATTTATAGTGAATTTATTTTCACACAAGTTTCAAACTATTTCAGGCTTAATTAGACTGCGAGTAGGCCCTTGGGACAACACATCAAGAAACTGCCAACAACACACCAAGAAACGAACTGTTACGCGTTGCCCACACAACGCAAAATTCCCATTGGTCGAAATCGATATGCCTGTCAATCAAATCTAATATTATGAACTGTAAGAACACATCACTAACATATAGAAAGACTCCTATTTCCTCATCAGTTATGATTATCATTACAAGTAACAGTAGAAATGCTTAAAAAATTTATTCTGTTTTCTATGTAAAGCAGAGCAGCATGCTTTCATTTTGCTTTGGTGTTGTATGTCCGGTATTAAGATAATCATAGGGTTGCTACAGCCAACAAAACAATGTTACAAATATGAGCTCCATTCTTTGAAAATTGATACAATATGAATCAGAATGTTGAAAAGTTTTCTGTACGTGTGTTCACAGCTAAAATTTGAAGTATTTTTTCATAAAATTTGTTAAAACTTTGAGTGATCAATATACTTCACAGCTAAAATTTGAAGTATTTTTTCGTAAAATTTGTTAAAATTTGAGTGATAAATATACAAACAATAAACAGAACATGTATATTTTAAGCAAGAAAATCGTAAGTGCCAGCGCTAATTGTAGTCAGCAACATAACGTTGTTCAGCATATTTTACCAAGGCCCTCAGCTCGCGCGCCATACCAAAAAGACTCTGGCCACGAGGCCCATTTTGGTGGGTGGATTTTTCTTTTGCTGATAATTGAGGAATGTAGGCTGCATGTTAATTAACAAAGACACAATTAGTATTATGATCTAAGATGCAGTCTAATGCATGCTAATGCACCCTGATGCAGTCTAATGCAGGGTAATGCAGTGTAATAGATACATACATATAGTGTCCCTCCCTCTCGCTATTTTTGGGACCTTGTAATAGGCATACATAAAGTACTTCCCCCAAAGCAGCTTTTTTCTTTCCCTGCTGGCGGAGGTCTCTATTTGTGCTGGGAAGCGAAGGAGAAGAGACGTCTGCCTAGATCTGACACTTCCTCAGTCCATGATCGTGGACGAGTCAAACCAGTTTGTAAAACAAGTTCTGAAACCGGTTTAGAAAAACAAATAGAACGCATGCTCAGAGCTGAATTACGCTATAATGACATTGAGCCCGTAGTGTCAAAATGGCGGCTTGCACAGCGTGGTCATTTCGAGGTTTTTCATGTTGTTTGAAAGTGCTCTAAGCTATGTAATTGATATTTTCAAAGATGAAACTGTGAAAGCATGCAGTGACAGAAGATCAAAAGAAAGCAATCTTTTCTGTTTTATCGGGCCGAGATACATTTGTTTGCCTTCAAACTACGGTAAGTCTTTGAATTACCAAGTTGCTCCCACAAAAACCGGTTTGATATCACGTGGTAAACATCACTCGTTGTCATGGCAATTTCGCATATGCGCGACAGAAAACGTGTCAGATCTAGGCAAAGGTCTCTTCCCCTTACCTGCACAAATAGCGACCTCTGTCATCAGGGAACTTTTTTCTTTGCGTATCTTTTACGTTTTATATAAATACGGATGTTTTTTTTATAATAATATAATAGCTTTATTCATCCATCTTATGATAAAAAGTACAATGGACTTACAATTACTTGTTTAAGAAAGTATATATGCTGTGGATATGTCTTTATATTACAAATTGTTGTAAGATAATTTAGAAAACTAACTAAGAAGTTAAAACTAATAAGTTCTTTAATCTAATAAGTTCTAATAAGTTAAAAGTATTTATACATATTTACAAGCTCTTCCTGAAAAAGAATGTTTATGCCTTTCAGTTCCTGAGAAGAATGATATATTGCGATTCCGGTCAATGTTCCTTAAATTGTACTGATTGTTAATTAATTTTGGCAAAACACTGTGACAGGGATGGTTTGGATCGTTCATAAACCTATCAACTTCTCGACTAGTTGCCTCTTCCCTTTCGTTCAACGGTGGCAGGTAATCTTTTTCCAGGCCAAGGATTCTTAAGCTCCTGGATTGAACCCGCTCTATTTCATCTCGCAGGTAATTAGGGAGTCCCGCCCAGACAGGTGATGCATACTCGAGAATTGGTCTTATTTTGGATTGATAGGTAATAATACCGACTTCAGCTTCATGTTTCGCCTTATTGACCTCAATTTATTTCAAGAGTAAATTGGCACTATATACTATGATGTGCACTTAGAAAAGTCTGAATCCACATTGATATTGTTTTGTGGTAACACCGTCACATGTCAGTTCTTAATAGAAGTATTCAAGAGAGAGACAAATTAATTATAGTGGCAGCATCATGCATATGATGATTGACTTTATTTAAACAAACTAATTTTTACAAAAGCTGCTAAATTTCTAAAAATTAAGATATTGTGATAAAATATAAAGAAAAGACAAAAAAAAACTTTAAGTAGCTTGCAATGATTTTATAAAAATATTATACTAGGGGTTTGTATAGGCTCATAAACAAGTTATATTTTGTAGTGTCACAGCATAGAAATAATAGACATAGAATGCGTGCTAATGACGAACCATGTCTCCACTTTTTCAGGTGCGTGCCCTTTTGAATGCGCCATATTGAATTTTGGCCAGGAGTGCAAACAACAAAGTATAAACAAAGCTAAAACTACGTTTTCATCGTCAAAACGTTTTGTTTTGTTGTCTAATTTGCAGTTTGGGGATAGATTTTGAGTTCCTTGAAGGCACAAACTGTCAAAGCAAATGTGCAGTTACAAAACTCTATGAAAACAGTGAAAATCGTGCAGCCTTTTAAAAGCAAAGTAGTTTCGCGAAAATATAATTTACTCAAAACATTTTTGCATGCTCTAAACGTAACTGTTTTGCCAATATCTTATAAGATTACAAAATGATAGTTCTTTCTTCGTCGGGTTTCGTTTTTCTGCAATGTAAACGAAGTGTTTTCATGTTCTTGAAACATTTTATAGTTGTCGATAAACTGTAAAATTGCCTAAAAATAATCGTCGAAAATCATGGTTTCAAAAGCGTTGCCTCAAGCTCAAGCAACGTAGAAAAATATGAAATATATAATTGTGTAAGTTTAAAAAGATTATTGAACTCCATTTATATTGTAAAAGAGTTGAAATATTTGTAGAACATACCTATTGAGTTTGTCTTGATCTTTTGTGTTTTGTTTTGGCTTGCACAACAACATAACGTTGAAAATTTATTTTTAAACGACGATTTCTGCATATATTCTGTTCAGAACTATTGCTTTTCGTAAAAAAACCCACTGGAATGGGTTTTTAGACACTTTTCCTTAGTTTACCAAACTTTTTTTTCCATTTTAAGTCCCGATATAAAATTTTTTGCAAACTTTTCAGTTGAAAAAATAATTCGCACTCCGTGCAACCGCGCGAAATTCCCTGCCTCAGGAGTCTGGGACCAACCAAAATGCCCTTTTCAATGCGCCATTTTGTGGAGACAAATTTTTTACTGAGAAAAGATAGGAGCACGCATTCTATGTCTATTATTTCTATGTGTCACAGTAACGCAACAAAAGTTAGAAAACATCTGTCAAGTAGGTCGTCTATTTATTTAAGTGGCGCAGTTGAACAATAGTTGATTTAGCATAGTGAGTATATGGGTTATTTTGAGGCAACGAGGCGATATGTGATTTATTCACCCAGGCGCTCAGGTGAATAAACACATATCCCCGAGGTGCCTCAAAATAACGTACTTATTTTTCACATTGCGAGGTCGCGTTAATGAGACAGAAAAGAAATAATTCTTAATGCCATATTGCCTTATGTTGTTTTTTCTCATTTTTTTGTGCTGCAAAGACATTGCAGGTGAATATTAGAGGGATTATTAATTGCAGGTGAATATTAGAGGGGATTATTAAAGGGAAATTGATTAGAGCGGAATATTGAATATATTCCCCGATAAGAACAAAGGAAACCGAGCAGGGTGAAAAATAATAGTGAATAGATTCCAAAGTGATTAATTTAAAATGGATTGTCGAAAAATCACTTAAAACGCACGAAGCAGAACACGTACGCCAACCGGTCCATCGAACAGGTATATATATAGCGAGTAATGGCGACAGCCGTTGAACGTGAAACTGCCTTGCCTGCCGTTCTTCATTTCAAGCAAGAACTGCTATCGCCATCACTCGCCATAATATAGCGGCCGGTTGGCGTACCTTTGGCCAAAAACGGTTTGCTTAAGCTCCTAGTAGAGAGCTGTAGATTTGGCAACGAGGACGACTCCGATCGAGATATATTCGTTATATTCTTACGCCATCTTGTTAAGCCATGATGCACTGACTGCTTCAAATCTCGTAGCCGTCACCAAATTGGCAACGGGATTTTTGAAAAACCATCGCTGTATACAAGCATTTATACCACGGGATTATGGCATGCGCAGACGCGGAATGGCGCATAAGATTGTGAATTGTTCCAAACAACGAATCTCGTATTTATAGTCCAGATATTATATAGTTTAGGACAGTTTCCCGCACAGGATTTCGTGTATATACTTGAAACTGTTGACAGCCATAATATTTCCAAAGTTTTTCTCAGAAAGTTCATTACAAATTAAAATGCTCGGAACTTCACAAATTCGTTCACCGTTGTGAAGTTCAAAAGTTCATATTGAATTCACCAGAAGAAAGCACGCAATAAAATGCGCAGTTTGCAAACTTGTTTGTGAATTTCATTAGGAACTTTTAAACTCCGTTGTTCGGAATTAAATTCGGAACATTTTCATTAAAAAGTTAGTTGAAATTCACGGTAAATAGTAGTTTCAGTTTCAACCATTATCTGCATGCAGTTTTGTGGTAACCAGTAACCAAATTTTGTGAGCCTGATTACAGCTATCCATGAAGAAAAATGAGACGACGTCAATGTTGATTGAGTTGTTTTAACCGCGTAAACAAAATTCTCCTAATTTGCTGAAAATCTTACATATAGCGGTTCAATATCAAAACATAGGAAATATAACGTATATATTGTGCTGCCATGATGTTAATGTAAAGAAAAGATATAGATCAAGGATAACTGGTGCTGTGCAGTTAGTACATCCATTTATAAATTTTTAAATATTAAATGTCGAGTTATAAAATATTTTCACGAGTTTCTGTCGACATGTATTTCACGCGATAATTCATGCATGGCATTCAACAAATTATTCAGGAAAGACCTTAAATAAATTATATAATTATAACGTTACTTTATAGCCTCCTTACTACCTTAATTAATTCTTAAGTTTTCAAAAAAAAAGCCATTTTTTGCGCAACAAGCACGGCGTTTTACAGAGAAGACCATGCATACAATATATCGTTTTGGTGTTTTCTGTTAATGCGATTTTGGTGATTTCCAAAGTCAACATGGCTTCTCAGTTCAGCTGTAGTTCTTCCAGAATAGATCTTGTGTTTTGTACTACGGGTTATAGTTTATAGCCGTTTCTTTACGAAGACAACTATATATATAAATACACGAAGCTATAATATGGCATGTATATATAACATTATAATGAGGGGAAATCTGCTATATATATATATAGTTGCATATAGTGGTAGATATAATCAATCAACGATATACGTACATGGTTATATAAAGAGTTTTATCATTTTTCCTACCTTGCTTTTATACTTTTTATGGTTATGCCATGTGATGGCATGCAGTTACGACCGACTTCCAATACTCAGAACGCAGTAATCGCTTAGCAATTAAAAGTTTTCAAAACAGGAAGTCTCTGCCCCCCATGATTAAGATATTCAGTGCTGATGTTGCTTCAGCTAATCTGAAATGTGTTGTCTCACAGATTGCAAAGATATGCTGCGTTACACATAATTTATATTTAATTGACAATCCAGATACTTATTTTTTTTTATTAGTTTTACAATAAGAAATTGAAGGCACAGACAACAGGACTAATAAAGTCCCAAATTAAGTTATTTTAGACTGCAAGTCCATTACCTTGGTGTATCAAGGACACATTTATTGATTTATATACTATCAAACATAGGAAGTTTTCGCCCCCGCAGCTGACCGAATTTCAAAAGGCATGCTTCTCAAGAATGCAACTTCAAGCATTGGCGATTTTTATAAATCTATTTCTGCTCATTTTCTGTGGCAAACGGAATCAACCAGCTATAGATTTGTTTCCTGGATTACAATGTAGTTAACTACGACTTGGAAGTCCACACACATCGTGGAAAACGCTCAACAAAAGAGATAAATTTTAAAATTAACTGCGCTCAGGTATGTTTCACTTTCTTAAGCTAGCCCCGGTCAAACGAGAACGAGAGTTGCAAATCTCGCTCACGTTTTACCGCCACCTTTCATCGCCTGTCATGCACTCTCGTCAAATCCCATTGACTTTGCACTGGTTCAAATTTTAATGAAAGTTGATAAGAGTTTTTGCTATCGCACGGTAACATCCAGTCAACTCTCATGCAACTCTTCGGTTCTCGTTTGACCGGGGCATGAGAGTTGAGAAAACTTGCTGAAATAAGACGCCCCAAGTTAATGGAAGTTATATACATACACAAAATACTCGACGCTAGAGCATATTTTTCAAATAACAATATTTGATCAACGGAAAAAACTTGTCTTACGACAGTATAGATTGTCTATAGCTGGAGAAACCATACCACTAAAGAAATATTGGATGGCTTGTCAATGCGAAGTTTGGTTACGACCTTCGGTCAACCCGATCCTTTGGCTTTGGGAAGTGGATGTGTGTAGGGTGTTAATCGGTTTATAACTCACCTTAAAGTTTTCCCTAGAGATTTGTTCCGATACGCCTTTGATATACGGTAATGTAATAAACTTTGTTTCCAGACTGCGCAATTGTCAGCATCAAAGGTACCTTGTTTTTTCTTAAGTCTGCGATGTTTGTCACTCTGTTTTACTGTCGATGCAATAGGAGTGTTGATAAAATATTGCACAATTTATTTCCTTAAGTTGATCAATTCATACGAATTCAAGTTTCTTTTTACTTCCTGTGCGTTTCCTATTAGTCAGTCGGTTCTGAAACGAAATCTAATTGGCTCATCTAGAAGTAACAGGAAATTGATCAATTTTCTATCAAATGAATTGACCAACTTGAGGAAATGAATTGATGCAATATTTTATGAACACTTCAGTTGCATCGACAGTAAAAACTGTTGGGGTAGCCATTGACCATAAGTACATTGAAAACATGTATACGTTCTTGTTTTTTTCCCGAGGCAGGAGTCGGTACATTTTCTGCTCGATTGAGTAAGGAATTAACGACAGAACGTTTATGGGTGATGGGATGGTGGGAATTAAAGTCCAAATATTTGTTTGCATGTATGTGTAGGTTTCGTATAAACGCTGACTTGTATAGTGTTCGTATTGTCTCTAGTTGTCATAGTGTCTATAGAAAAGCAAGTTTGCTTTACGTTTCCTTTTCCACAGTGAACTGTATATATTATAGGGTCAATAAAGTTTAGGTAATCATGAAATTCACTGACATAGTTTTTGACATGGTATATATATATATATATATATATATATATATATATATATATATATATATATATATATATATATATATATATATATATATATATATATATATATATATATATACTATTTTAAGAAGAATTGCACTGATTAATCGGTTGATTGGTCGGTTAGAGCTCAGAACTTTTCTGAGTATAGGCTTGATAGCATCCACACCAAATCACATATTTCACAAGGCATACCACAGCATATATATACCGGGTGGCGCAAAAAAAAGTATAACTGTTTGATTACATATAGCTCAAAGACCATAAGCAGTAGAACCCAAAATCGAGTTTCATTGCATCCAGCGATGTCTAACTTAAATTTTGGTATATTCGACAGGCATTTTCGTCCAAGATTGACTGAGATATGAGTGTTTAAACTTTTGTTAGCAAATTTGAAACGGTCACAAATTAGCTAAAAACGGCCTATTAAACTGATTTTAGCTAATTTGTGACCGTTTCAAAATTGTTAACAAAAGTTTAAACTCTTATATCTCAGTTAATCTTGGACGAATATGCCTGTCAAATATACCAAAATTTAAGTTAGATATCGCTGGATGCAATTAAACTCGATTTATGGTTCTACTGCTTATTGTTTCTGAGTTACAAGTAATCAAACAGTTGTACTTTTTTTTGCGCCACCCGGTATATATATATATATATATATATATATATATATATATATATATATATATATATATATATTTCGAAAATGTAGGTTGCTTTTATGCTATCGAAAGAATGCGTGGAATGCGTGTAGGCGAAACAATGCTTATAGGCGAAACAATTGATGCTTAGGCGAAACAGTGCTTAGTCGAAACAATGCTTGGGTCATAAATTTTTTTTAACGATCTTGTTTACTCGAAACCGGTTTTTGTGTCGACACTTGCCGAAAATTTCGCTTCTTTTATTAAACATAAATTGCAGCGTTTTGATCCCCCTGTCCGCCAAAATGAAAATATTGGGGGTTAGTAATTTCGAAATTACTCACCACCCGATGATTCCTATACGGATGAAACAGATTGTTGTGGTTTTTTGAGGTATAAAACGAAAAACTATATTACGCTCTATCTATATGGTATTGAGCACTGTTTGTGTTTCGTAAACCAAAAACTTAAGCTATATATATATATATATATATATATATATATATATATATATATATATATATATACTGAGCTACTGAGCTACTAGCTGTGATCCCGCGAATTTATATGATTCGTTTGTTATATCTACATTATATAATTGTATTTTCAATCATTGACTGGAAATCTCAGATTGGAAAACTAAAATATAGTGCTAGTGTTGAAAATCGCTCCAGCGACGATACTGACACAGAGGAAAACAGCCAAGAAGATCTTGTTCAAGATAGCAGAAAGAAACCAAGGTATATGAATATGAACTATTTTACCGTGATATCAATAGTTAAACGAAAATAAACATTAATTGAAATTCCGCTAGCAGCAATTACATACATTTAAAAACAATTTGTGACCCTCCTTTGAGAAACAAACTTTAACGATAAATTGATAGTAAACGGTGTCTCACCCGTCTTGGTAAAACGTTTTAATTAATTAACGGCTTACGAATCAAACGATTATACGAGTGTTATAAGAAACATTTTAAGATGGCTCCCTACAATTTTTAAAACTATGAAAATCAATAAATTAGATCACACACTTTTTGAAAAATTTCTTGTTTAGAAACAATTGTACATCTTACATATAGAGCAACAATCAAAGAGTTGGAAATTGGTAACAAAAATGACTTCACCACTGTTGCCTGTTGCTAATGATTCAGTATATGGCCGATATTTTGGCTTTTAGCGCACATTACTTGAAAAACCGCCTGGTTATTCCCATTTTTATTTCATAAAACGTTTTCTTGCATGTAGTACAATAGACTATCTCACCGAGTTTAAAAGAAATCTGTAGAGCCAAAAACTATTTATTTGAAAAACCATGTTTATCAATTTCCCTATTTTTAAAAATTGTATAGCCACCCTAGCTACTGCGGATTTTAATAGCGGTTAGAACTAACAATTAAATTATCAATACAAATAATATCATAACATCATTTATTCTGCTTCATATTTGTACATTTCAACAGAAGAAAAGAAAGTAGTGACGTGAACTCATTAATATCGGCATTAGACACGACATTAAAGTTTTCAGAACAACGGAAATCTCCAGAATTGGATCAAGAAACACAAGAAGAGCACACTGATGATCCGGGTGGTAAGTTGGTGTTGTCAGATTATTCTATTAATTAATACTGTACTTTCAAATTCATGCAGTGCACTTTGATGTCTTAAGGAGATTTACACTGCACAACTTTTGCCTAAAATTGTCGCATGCAACCTGCTTACAACTTGATTTGTACTCACCTACAACAACGTAGGCGAGTTGTGTGCTTGATTTACACAGTCCAACTCAAGTTATAAGCAGGTTGCATGCGACAGTTTTAGGCAAAAGTTGTGCAGTGTAAATTCTCTCCTAATAAATAAAGGCGGATCTCCACTAGACGATTTCTGAGACTATTTTTATGACGATCGTCATAAAAATTCGCGACGATTTAGAGAGAAGTGGACATGTATTAGCAGCAAGAAAAAGTGCGGAATCTTATTTGTTAAGTCAATCCTACTTTTCGTCGAGCGCTAGACGATCCGCTCTTCGAACTTTTTTTTCAATTGCGCATGTGTCGTCGCGAACTGTTTTGACGATCGTCTCAAAAATCGTCTAGTGGAGATTCGCCTTTAGAAGTACAATACATACTGTAGTATACGTTACCTAGTACGGTATTTATATACTACTGTAGATACGAGTGCTTTCCGTACTGTATCTTACAGACTGTATGTGGCAATATATTTTTTCTTTTATTCTTGTCATGAAAAATAGGTATACTACTTTAATTCTGTGATAAAAATGAAACGCTTAGCCTATATTGCCTATATATACATACGATTTTTGGTGGTTCTATACAATAGGATACAATGCAACAAATATGAAATGAATTTCGGTTGTTCTTAATTATTTAGAAAAAAGTGGTACCAAATATTTTTAAAACGTCATAAATAAAATCAATCATGATACATTGATACAATTAAATGTGAAAATTGTGAAGAGCTATCACAAATTCCAGAAAATTGTAAACTACGACGTAGGTCTGTAGAGATCAAAATTCCATTCTTGTTGCAAAATTGTTTTTTAGATATCTCTGTTTCCACTGGTCGACTGCGAGATCGTATTGAATTTCTTCGCCGTGACTGTATCGAAGGATTGGGTGAGGCAGACTTTCGCGAGGCATGCAACATTATTGACAACCAGCCTGAAGAAAATGTCGAGTGTGCGTTGGTTGAACTAATGGGAAGGGTAAAATTTGAAAAGTATGGTGGGAAAATATGGCAACTAAAGTTTTGTGAAACATTCAAACGTAGTTAGAACATAAAAATTATTTTGTATAGTGATTTCATATGGGTTCAAAATACTGCTGGAGTTATGGTCCCAGTTAATATATAGAACAATTTTCACCTAATGTCCAAGCTGATGAATTAAGCATGCGTGATAGGCATTGGTGCCAAAAAATGAAAGTTTCAAACACATAACAAACTTTTCGCCCATGAACTCAAAATGCGTTTTAAACTTTTAAATTTCGCGCGCAAGCTATTTTTAATGCTGGTGACAGCGAAAACGATACCCCGGCCCCTGCTCTGGAAAATTTATCTTTACGAATTTTTTTTGTTTATTCCACATTATAAACCCAATATTTATCAAAAATTTCATGACATGAACGGATTTGTGAAGTTGAGAGCCGTTTCAAAATTGTCTACTTTTTTCTGATACACCCTGTATGTATATATATCTGGAGCAAGAACTTCAGTAATTCGGCCTATAAGATGGCGGAATTGATGTGCAATGAAGGTTATAAACAGTTTTAATACCATTTCCACCAGCTAATTTCAGTTTTTCCTTGCGGACCGTATCAATAATCAAGTTATCAGTTCATCGAACTATATAGTATTATAACTATTATTCTTTAAATCGAAGTCAAAATACGAGATTTCGGCACACTCCTTGCAGACCGCGCAGAAAAGCTGTCGTCCAATCCCCCATTTTTGGCTTCACTTTTTGGACTTGAGTTCTTGCTCCAGATATATATGGAGCTCACTGCAAAAACCTTCATCCATAATTGTCAGTATTTGTCAATATCGCCAATTCCTTGCATTAGCTTCCGACTATGCCAAAATACACCCTATATATGTATAGGGGAAAACGTGAAAAAGTATCAGAAGAAACCTTTTCCAACTTTCGGTCGTGGTCAGACTAAAATGGTCTTTTCTGACTAGTTGATTTTACTAGTTGCTAAATATCTTAAGCATCTTGTACTCTTTTGCCCGAACGAAAAAACCGCCATAAATGTGATCCTGGTCTCATTTCAGATAAATTTGCATAATAGTAAACATTATACATTCCTGTTGTCGAAGTATGAGCCGATTTTGATATATACCTTTAAATAAACAGATTTTAGTCTTTTTAACTTCATTGTCACCTTCGCATTTTCTGTTCATCCATCAAAAAGTGAAATATTTTATATTTTAGTGCATGATCTAACAACTTTGTCTTTGAACACAAAAATGTGGCAGCTCAAACACTTTAGTACCATTTGTATAATATATTTCAGATCGTAAGACAATAATAGCTTGTTTGAGTATATTTTAATGTTTGAATATACATTCAGTAAACCTGTATGAGCAGTCAATCAATCAACCAACTTAAAATTAATAATTTTTTCCAGACTTAGAGCAGTTACAGGGATTGGATAGCAAAACAAATAGGCGAACGTTTATTTTGTTTCGTTTTTGTGGAAACACTAGAATATACTATAATGTTTCCACAAAAACAAAAGGTCGAGAAACATTATTGCCTGTTGCATGGCAACATGATCTCTTCTCAAAATTAAGGCTATGACTATGTCTTAATTGTAAAACTTTTGAAAATTAAGGATATGGCTTAAATTTGAAATTCTCCAAAATTAAGGCACAGCCTTAGTTTAATAATACCACAATCATTAGGCAAGACTTCTTGCTATAAAATTAATGGCCTTAAAGGCGGTTTTCCAGTCCTCGCACGAAGCTCCTCGCAGCGCGCTGCGAGTGCTTGCATGCAGGGGTGGGAATTTAAAAAAAAAGGTCGCCAGATTTGGATTGGATTTAATAGGGTTAGGTTTAAAATTAAGGCAATGTCTTAATTTGAACGCGTTTTACAATTAAGACAGCCTTAATTTTCGGAAGGGATCGAGCTGTGCATGGGTAAAAGCAACCTCGTACCCAGGGTCTTGGCGAGGGGATGAAAAGACCCTGGTAGACGCTGGTCACGTGATCTGCTAAAATCTAAATATTTGATATTTGGATGATTTTTATAGTTTAATTTATGATTTGCATTTTGTATGATTGTCGTAAAGGAATCCAAGATAGTTAATTAGAAATTAGCCCGCGTGCAGGCCCAAGGGAACTGATAGTGGGCCTGCAAGCAAGGCCCGGTATTTTGTAAAACGCCCTTTTCATAAAATACGCCCCATTCGCGCGTCAATTGTCAAAAAAGAACCAATGACAGCACCCAAATATTAACAAACAAACTCGCATTAAAATGTTGCGGGGTTTTCTCTGCTTATTCAGAACATAAACAATGTGTAAATGGCTGCGTTTTAACTCCCAAAAAGCAAGCAACGCAGTCAGTAATTGCCAAATTGCAAGTGCTCATTTTCAACTAAAATCGGAACAGGCAAATTAGGACGAATTTCAACAGAAAACCAGTCTCAAACTTCAAATCATGAGGGAAGTCGTGAGACCACATTAGCATTTATATTATGTGTGCTTCGCTGTCGCCATTGGCATTGTTATAAATAAATTGTCTCACTTATCAGATTGTGTGTGCAATTCTTGTTGGCGGCGGAAAGTACGAAATTTATTTCAGTTATTTCATTTGGTAAAGAACTCTACAAAAGAAGAGAGGGTTCAGAGTCCAGATTGTTTCGTTTCAAACGGCAATTTAATACCGCCTTCTGTTTCGCTCTCTCAGCGAAGCCTTGTAAATCGCAAAGTGTTTCGAATAGGCTTACATGCAACTGCATCTCAACATCAACCAAAAGATCATTTTCTTGAGGAACATATAACGTATCAACTCTGTTTGAAATTAATGAAACTCAAGTGTAAAGGTTACTATAGTTTACCCCAGTCGTAATGTTGCTATTCCAACACCTCACGACAAGCAATCCCCATTGGCATAACGTCAAAATCATCTCTTCCTTCAAGTAAACAATAAACAGTCTGTTCTTGTTCCATTTGTAATCGAAAAAAGTGATCAATTTTCGAATTTTAAGCTTATCGAGAGAATATCGAGAGCCTTTGTGATGAATCACTGACCTAATTATAGAATCCAACAGCAAACAGCCAATCAGAATGCCGCGTTCGTGGGCGAACGCGGAAAGTACAAAATCCCGGGCCTTGCTTGCAGGCCCACTATCAAGTTCCCTTCAGCCTGCTCCCTTGGGCCTGCACT